TGCCAAGTACTAAACCAACGGTGAGAAATGAAAAACAAAAAGAGTTTGGTATTGTGTGATTGTTAGCATTGGTTTGTTTATTGATTTGTGTTCTTTATTTAGGCATTGAGATTCTCTGGGAGTTTAGGCGTGGAAGTGACGGGTATAACGATCCAAAACAGTCCTCAGTGTCATCTCAAATTCGACGACTGCTTAGGGGTTGTGGTGCATGACATAGCCGTTTCTTCACCTGGTGACAGTCCAAACACTGATGGAATCCACCTCCAGAACACCAGAGATGTCCTCATTCACAGCACTACTCTCGCTTGCGGTATGATCTCCAATCTTGAATTTTGAAATCTTGAATCTTGAAATCTTGAATGATCTTGAATTTTGGATTAATGGTGTCTCCTCTCTATGTATGTGTGCAGGAGATGATTGTATCTCGATCCAAACGGGTTGCTCGAATGTGTATGTGCACAATGTGAACTGTGGACCGGGCCACGGGATCAGCATTGGTAGTCTCGGCAAAGAAGGCACAAAAGCCTGTGTCTCGAACATAACAGTGCGAGACGTAGCTATGCACAACACAATGACAGGTGTTAGGATCAAGACATGGCAAGGAGGAGTAGGATCAGTGAAAGGGATAATCTTCTCAAACATTCAGCTCAACGAAGTCCAGATTCCAATAATGATTGACCAATTCTACTGTGACCACAGCAAATGCAAGAACCAGACATCAGCAGTTGCAGTGGAAGGAGTGACTTACGAGAGGATAAAAGGAACCTACACCGTGAAACCGGTGCATTTCGCTTGTAGCGATAACTTCCCGTGTGTAGATGTGCAGTTATCATCGATAGAGCTTAAACCGGTTCAAGAAAAGTATCGAATGTCTGATGCTTATTGTTGGCAGACATTTGGTGAGCTCAACACTCCTACTCTTCCTCCCATTGATTGTTTGCAGATTGGGAAGCCCCCAAGAAACAAAGTTCAGTCCGATCACGATGTGTGTTGACGGATTCCGCAAGTAAAAAATATGTAGATTAATGTATATCATCTTTCTTTAGCCTATAAAACCTACTACTCTTGATACGAATTTACGGCTTAGATATTAAAAATGATGTCTCTTGCTACTGAAATGCCTCACTTTATTAACCAGAACCAACCAAGTGCTGATCATCAGCATTATTTTGAAATGGGCTAGAGATAAGCTGGAAAAGGAAAATCATAAGCGCACAATTTATTTGACCAATTGGACTATTTGGGCCAACTACTGGGCCATGGGTTCTTAAGAAAAAAACAAAAAAGGGAAAAGTTGTCGGTCGGTGCGGTAATATACAATTAATGGGCCACGCGTATAAACCGACCCGTAACTACAAGTTGGTTTTCAACTAGGCGAGGGCCGCAGTCAAACAACAACATGTGGATAGAGAGGATGAGATGCAAAATGTGCAACGCCAAGGACGTATCGGTGTTGGTTGTGCCTAGGCCTGGGCATAAAACCCGAAATCCGAAAACCGATCCGAAACCGATCCGAAAAATCCGGAACCGAATAAACTCTTAGTGATGTACTCACTAAGATATGTCCTGTATGCAAGCAAGTCTTTGAAAACATCTAGCGTTGAAGTCTTATTTTCTTGAATTTGTGACCAAAATGGAACAAAAGAAAAGATGGAAGAAGAGAATCCATTCTTTCATACTCTTTTTCGAAAATTTATAAAATAAAACATTCTTAGACCATACGCAGTGGGATAAGTTTTAGGAGGGTGTGAGTAATAAAAAAACAGAAAATAATGAAAAAGTTAGCACCCACGTGTAGAATTACACTCGGGTGTGGGAGGACAGCTGTCGCGAAATGCCCAAATTAGGTCTCTCACATGTTGTGCAACTGGGACCCACGAGCCTCTGCTACCAATGATCTCTCACGAGCATTTATTGAAGGTCATTTTTATTGGTTTTTAAAAAAGTATCTTAAATACATTTAAACTATTAAAAATTGAAAAATACTTGGGTTCACCCCTAGGGGTGAACCTAAGAGGTTCATCCCCTTTATTTCATCCAATCAAAATCTGCCACCTATTAATAATAAAAAATTTATTTAATTATAAAATTTAATTTGCCACTAAAACGAAATTATGTATCGGTTTAGGTTTATTAGAAAAGGTAAGGGTTTAGATTTTATGATTAAACGAGTTTAAATAACGGTTTGGGTTTATAAATGGATTTAGATTTTACAATTAAACGAGGTTAAGTGTCGGTTTGGGTTTAGAAAGTAAGATTAGGGTTTAGATTTTTTACGATTAAATGTGTTTAAATGACGGTTTGGGTTTACAAAAGAGAATTAGGGTTTAGATTTTATGATTAAACGAGTTTAACTATCGGTTTGGATTTATAAACGGGTTTAGATTTTACAATTAAACGAGGTTAAGTGTCGGTTTGGGTTTAGAAAGTACGATTAGGGTTTAGATTTTTTACGATTAAACGAGTTTAAATGACGGTTTGGGTTTACAAAAGAGAATTAGGGTTTAGATTTTGTAATTAAACGAGATTATATATCGGTTTTGGTTTATAAAAGAGTGGTTATGACTTAATCTTATTGTTTTATTTAGAAAATAATTGTTTTAATTTTTTTAACTAGATGATATGGCAAATTCTAATTGGATAACTAAGAGGGGGTGAATGAAAGTGGTTCACACACATTGCTAATGCTCTTATATGGCTGAACTTGCAATCTTTAATTACATGTACTTAAACATTGATTCTTTGTCATCCATTCATGCAACTGGTTTACACAGAGGTTGTTGTATCTTTGCTTCACCTGAGTAGTGAGTGTTAAAGATGAGTCAATGTTAGTTGATAAATTGAAGAGTTGTGAAATCTTGTTCCAATAAGCATGTGATCTTTCTTTTCATACCTCTTGCTGGATTTATTTCATATTCAATGAACATATAGCGGCTGAGAGATGGTGAGAAGGAACAAAAAGCAACCAAATAAGTTTATAGTTGTGCTCGGTTTCTTCATAGAATCATACATGATAGCAGCCAGGGGGTTAATTTGAAACAAAATGTATACTTTGGGGCACTTTTTATATACTAAACAAAAATAGGAGGGTGCTAGTGAAAGTAGAAATTTCATTTTTCAATCACAGAAAAGAAATCATCATCAGTCAATACACGTCTTTGAAGCTTCTCTCTCGCCTTTGATTTTCGAAAGGTAAGCTCCAAAAACTTTCCAGATCGTTTCGGATTTTTCTGGATCTGCATTCGAATTCCTTGATGAACTGATCCGAACAAGTATCTGAGTTTTGATGTTTCGGAGAAATTGAATCTCGTTTCGACCTTTTTTTTTTTTTTTTTCTTTTTCTTTTCTGTAGTGGTGATCTGAGTTATTCGTTAGACCATTGTCGTTGAACGATCGTGTATTCTGATCTCTTATCATGTGGATTCAAGGATCATGACGTTGGATTTTTCGATTGTCGTGTTAGATGCATTTGATCTCATTTGGTGTAAACAAGGAATTTTAGGGAATAGTGAAATACATGTAGTAAAGTTTGGTAAGAAGCACGAATAGTGATTCAATTGTTTATGGTGTGTGATCGATCTCTTAACATTTCAGGATCAACGGTTCAACGGACAATGGGGCTTTCATTTGCAAAGCTTTTCAGCCGGCTTTTCGCCAAGAAGGAGATGCGAATCCTTATGGTTGGTCTTGATGCTGCCGGTAAGACCACCATTTTGTACAAGCTCAAGCTTGGTGAGATTGTTACCACCATTCCTACCATTGGTAAGTCTTCTTCAAAACAGACATGATTGGCTGACCAGATTGCATTGTATTAGATCAGCTGCTGTTGAAAACTACTGATTGGAATTTAACTTGCTTAGACAATGAGACTTGATCAATAATTTGTTTTTAACAGGGTTTAATGTGGAGACAGTTGAGTACAAAAACATCAGCTTCACGGTCTGGGATGTCGGGGGTCAGGACAAGGTTTGTACTATATATGACTCGAAAAGATTAAAAAGAAAGAGATAACAGTTATCCACTTATTCTCTTTTACAGATCCGTCCCTTGTGGAGGCACTACTTCCAAAACACACAAGGTCTGATATTCGTGGTTGATAGCAATGACAGAGACCGTGTTGTTGAAGCCAGAGATGAACTTCACAGGATGTTGAATGAAGTATGTTCTTAATGCTACACAATTTTTTTGTTTATCCCTAAGGCTTTGTCCTATTGATGCTTCGTAACTGCAGGATGAGCTACGGGATGCAGTATTGCTTGTGTTTGCCAACAAGCAAGATCTTCCAAACGCAATGAATGCTGCTGAGATAACTGATAAGCTTGGCCTTCACTCACTCCGGCAACGCCACTGGTGATTTATAATTTTATACCAGAGAGGATTGGTTATTTACTATTGCATACATGTTTACCTGAAAACACATTGCTTGCTCTCTCTTATCAGGTACATACAAAGCACATGCGCAACTAGCGGTGAAGGGCTCTATGAAGGTCTGGATTGGCTTTCCAACAACATTGCTAACAAAGTAAGACTTTTAAATTCTGATTCGATAGGTTTATTTAGTTCAGGTTATGAACATTTTTTGACACTGTGAATAGAGTGATTGCATTCTTAGGGTTTGGTAATCTTGATGTATGTGTGTTGATTTGATTTCGGTTCTTTCTTTTATTCGATTCGCAGGCTTGAGGTTATCTCGACCAGAGAGTTTTGGTGTTGAGATTGAAAGCTTCTTCTCCGGAGTCAACTTGATTTCTTGTGGTTTAAGACCTGATTTATTTGTTTCATGTTGAACTGTCACCATTTCTCCTTTTTGCTTACTCTTCTTGGATGTTTGAATTCTTCTAGGCTCTAAAAGACATCTTTTTTTAATGAGTAAAAAATTCATATATTTTGTTTTCATAAAGTGAATTAACTTTATTTGATTCTTTCATAAAATTTTAACTTGCAATAATAATAGAGCAACTATCATTATGATCTAGAAGTCGCTATATGGTCACTCCATGATGAAACCAGGATCTTTCCCATTCTCTCCCAAATTTCCAGGCGTTTCCGTCACTCATGTCGCAGGCAGGAGCTTTGTGCGAGACGATCCTTCTTTGGATGCACAGAACAGTGTCTCCACATTGCAACCTCTAAACACCAAACCTCCGTGATCATTTGGTTTACTCTTCTGCCGGAATCTTAACAGAGAACTCTCCGGAGGCACACATGGTAGTTGCTTGGTCCATATCTCGTCGCTCCTTCCGATGCCTCTATATGGAAGCTATGTCACACGGCTCAGCCTCTCGCTGAGTGACATGCCCAAACCGGTAGCTGGGTTCGGTCACAGAAGTCACTGATCCTTTTTTTTTTAAATGGTTGATGTGATTTGGAAAATTTTATTAATCCTTTCTTTGAATTATTTATTTGTAACCGGATTTTGTGAATTTTATTGTTCAGAAATATCAATGGGAGAAAATAAACTTTTAGAAAGAATAGTTTACGCGGCATTCCGACAATGAAGCTGAATGGTAAATCTTCCAGATATTGATACTCTTATTTCATATAATTATTTACTGTTAAAAAAAAAAAAAAAAAACAATCAAGTGAATTTTTAGCCTATTTTCTCAGTAATTTTTAGAATTCAACTGTTGACATTTGGGAGACTTTCTATTTTTACACAAAAAACACGAAAAGAACAAAAAAAATCCAAGGAAAAAATATTCATCCTCAACAAACAAAATCTGAATCAACTTCCTATCTTCCTTGAGACATAAGCAACCCTGTAGGCCTGGAATTTTTTTGTTTCCAAATCTCTTTCGTGAATTTCAAATATCGTGTTGATCTCATAAATACATTTTCTCGAGAAACCGCTACAATCTTTAAAACTTAATTTCTTGGATCTCAGCGGAATTTAAACCCAGTTTGGCTTGGATCCCAAAGTTTTAGATCCTTTCTTGTTCCACAAGAAACCTCTTTAAGATCAAATACAAACATGTGAAAAGAAACAAGGAGAAGCAAATAAGGTGAAGACAAATGGACAAAGTCCAGCAACAAGCAGATTTAATCGGTAAGACGATATCTCCGTTTGTAGCTTCACAACCAACAAATGTCGGAGGATTAACTGATCAGAAAATCATCGGCGGTTCTGAGACGACACAACCTCCAGCCACCTCACCTCCTTCTCCTCCATCCCCCGACAGTGGCGGCGCACAAGCATCTCCCCCGCCGGCAACAGCTGCTCAACCACCACCGAATCAGCCTCCTAATACAACTCCACCTCCAACACCTCCTTCTTCCCCTCCACCTTCTATAACTCCACCTCCTTCACCTCCTCAGCCTCAACCTCCGCCTCAATCCACCCCAACTGGAGATTCTCCGGTGGTGGTTCCTTTTCCAAAGCCTCAATTACCTCCTCCTTCGCTTCTTCCTCCTCCCTCCTTAGTTAATCAGCTACCGGATCCAAGAACCAATGATGATAACATACTTCAACCCATCAACAACCCTATTTCTCCTCCGTCTCCGCCTTCTACTCCCTTTTCGCCACCGTCTACGGAAAATTCCGGCAGTCAAGGGTCTCCTCCGTTGTCATCTTTATTGCCTCCGTTGCTTCCCCTAAGCCCTAATTCTCCTGGAAACCCTTCACAACCCTTGGACTCACCCCCGGGAGGAGGATCAAATCGTGTACCCTCGTCGTCTTCTTCCCCGTCTCCTCCTTCCCTCTCCGGCTCCAATAACCATTCCGGAGGCTCTAATAGACATAATGCCAATAATAACGGAAATGATGGCAATGGCCAACAAAGTAATGAGTCTAATTACACCGAGAAGACAATGATTGGTATTGGGATCGCAGGTGTGTTGGCTGTAATTTTCATCGCTGCCGTTTTCTTCGTTAGGAGGAAACAAAAGAAAGGTTCTTCTTCTCCGCGCTCTAACCAGTATTTGCCACCGGCTAATGTCTCTGTAAATACAGGTAAATATATTTTACTTTTTGGTGTTGTCTTAAATTGGTTCTTGAAATCATGTCTTGTTCTTGATTCTTTATCTTCTTTTATGTTCTTGCTTCTTGATTTTCGTTCTTGTTATGTGTCTTGCTCTTACTCCTATTCTTGTTCTTGGATTCCTTGTTCTTGTTTTTTTATTTGACTTTGTTCTCTTGATTCTTCATTATCATGTTTGTTCAAACCTTGTTCTTGATTCTTGATTCTCTGTTCTAGCTCTTGTTCTTGATTTATGATTCTTGTGTGCTTGACCCTTACGTCTAGTTCTTGTTCTTGATTATTGTTTCATGTCGCAGAGGGATTCATCCATTACAGACAGAAACCCGGAAATGGGAACAGCTCGGCGCAGAACTCTTCACCGGATACTAACAGTCTTGGGAACCCAAAACATGGTAGAGGAACCCCTGACTCCGCAGTAATAGGGACTTCAAAGATCCTTTTCACCTACGAAGAGCTAAGCCAGATAACGGAAGGATTTTGCAAAAGCTTTGTGGTAGGAGAAGGCGGGTTCGGGTGTGTCTACAAGGGCATCCTTTTCGAGGGAAAGCCAGTAGCGATCAAGCAGCTAAAGTCGGTCAGCGCAGAAGGATATAGAGAGTTCAAAGCTGAAGTAGAGATCATAAGCAGAGTGCATCATAGGCACTTGGTGTCTCTTGTGGGTTATTGCATCTCTGAACAACACAGATTTCTCATCTATGAGTTTGTCCCCAACAATACTTTGGATTACCATTTGCATGGTACGTACTTCTTTTTACTATCTCTCTTTGTTTTGCATTTACTTTCTTAATCTCATTAAAACTGTTGATCATTCATGTGAATAGCAGTGTTACTAAATTAGGCTTCTATTTTGATGTGTATTGACATTTTAATTTGTTTTATGGAATAAATAGTATTGGGGACTAATATGCTATAACTAATTAAACGGGTCATGATCATGCGAGAGTATTTTGTTGTTAGAACGTTGAACCAGAAAAAGTTTGTGGTCAGATAATTTCTTGGGTTGTTGTCAGGCAAAAACTTACCGGTTTTGGAATGGACTAGAAGAGTCAGGATTGCAATAGGCGCAGCCAAAGGACTTGCTTATCTACATGAAGATTGTGAGTATATATGCACTCTCCATTACATTTTTATTATTTAAAATTTTTCCTAATGAAATGTGAATAGATTTCCTTGGTGTAAAACTATATAATCAAGGATTAGGCTAATTAATTTGGCTTTAATGAATTTCATAGGTCATCCGAAGATTATCCATAGGGACATCAAATCGTCAAATATTCTGTTGGATGATGAATTCGAAGCTCAGGCAAAGTCAATATTTTACATTAATTTATTTTATTAATAAAATGTGACTAGCGGACATTCGTAGAAATCATTATGATTTTCTTCACTGAGAGCATTTGATCTGCTACGTATAGGTTGCAGATTTTGGACTCGCAAGACTGAACGATACTGCACAGTCACACATATCAACGCGTGTCATGGGCACATTTGGGTACGGTCACTTCTCATATTTGTATTTTTTTTTTTTTATAAACGTTATCTATAAAATAATGTTACGATATCATCATATTAACAACAAAACATAATGCAATGCAGGTATTTAGCACCAGAATATGCGTCAAGCGGAAAGCTAACGGATAGATCAGATGTGTTTTCATTTGGAGTTGTGCTTCTCGAACTCATCACTGGTCGCAAACCTGTTGACACCTCTCAACCTTTGGGTGAAGAAAGTCTCGTCGAATGGGTAAATTTTTTATCTTGATTTTATGAATTTATTTTTGTTACAAAATAAATGAAATCTCATGAAGGTTGAATATTTGTTGTTTTGGCAGGCACGTCCAAGGCTAATCGAGGCCATTGAAAAAGGTGACATCAGCGAAGTAGTGGATCCACGGCTAGAGAATGATTACGTCGAAGGTGAAGTCTATAGAATGATCGAAACGGCAGCGTCTTGTGTTAGACATTCAGCTCTTAAACGACCTCGTATGGTTCAGGTCAGAAATGGAAGAAACATTTGTTGACTCGACCCTAATTATAAAGACAGCTGGAAAGAGAAACAAACCATCTGATTGATCAAGAGTGTCTCTCTCTCTTTTTGCAGGTTGTAAGAGCTCTGGACACGAGAGATGACTTGTCGGATCTGACAAACGGAGTTAAAGTGGGTCAAAGTACGGTCTACGACTCGGGTCAATACAGTAATGAGATTCGAATTTTCAGACGAGCCTCTGAAGATTCCTCGGATCTTGGTACTAATACTGGCTACTACCCAAGCCAAGACTACGCTACGAGCCATGAATCTGAGAGCCGAGCCTTCAACACAAGTCACCGGAACCACTAATTAAACTCAAACTTGTTGTGTTTTGTTATTCTGGGTTCTCTTTAGAATTATATTTGTGAAAGATCTTAATGAAAATCCGATGATAAACCAGAAGAATGTATAGTTTCAACATGTAAATTTGTCACCAAAAAGCTTGTGAGAAATCATATCTCTAGTAGTAACTTGTGACTGAAGCAAACAAAACATTTGACCTTTTTTTTTGGGTTATGTACTCTGTTTTACCGACTTTCATATTGAAGTTATAATCATCTTGAGCAGCAAATCTCTCAGAATTCCAGATGTAATCCCGTCTTTGTTCGCCTACAAAAAAGTTCAAAACTTTGTATCAGATTTCAAGAATCTGAGATTAAGTGCAGGGGCAATGCGGAGATGTAATTAAGTTACTACCTTGACATTGAGAATGGTCAGGACTGTGAGATCAAGTCTGGTGAAATTAACGTCGATGATCTCAAGTTCACATAAATCTACAGCTTCTATCAACCTCTTGAATCCATCTTGTTTATGTTCCTGCACAACCCGAATCAAGAAATCTCGCTCACCAATCTCGTGGACTTCAAGATTCACCTGACAGAAACCGGAGTTTGTGGGATTTTTACAATTCAGATATAGATGATCTTGAAGGTCCATATATTCGAATAATACCTCGTTTTTCTTCACTTTCTTGTTGATTTTCGAGGAAACCTTTTCAGCTCCTGGATCAGCTATTGCAGATTGTTCCTCTGCAGCAATTTCTTTGCATTCCATCTCGTCGATTCCTTTAAGCTCATCTTCAAGTTTCTGCTTCTCCGCCAGCAGTTCATTGATGTAATCAACCGCATCACTAAAAATTCCAATTTTGTTCAACTGCATATAGCACAAAGAAATGGATAAATATAATAATCCTATCGAAAGCGCTATTGATCACACGAAGAGTGTGATCCAGAAACTGCATTGAGTTTCAGAAGAAACCTTTGTGATTTTAGGGACTACTGCTCTTAGACCATACATGGCCTGATTAATTCTATCTCTTCTTTTCCTCTCTGAATGAAGGTTCTTTGATTTGAAGTTTTCCGCAGGAAGCCTCTTATTAGCCTTGGAATCGTTGGCATTTTGCACCAAACCATCCTTTTCCTTGTTCATTACCATACATGGCGCTTGTTCCTCCCTGAGAATTTCTACACAACGAGCATTCGAGTAACTGCCGAAAAGATTCTGAGTTTCACTGGAGGGATTGGAAACACTTGATGATCCGCCACCCTCAAAGCTGAGATTCACACCGCTACTCATAGATTCCTCTGCTCGGGGAATGATCCTGAATGGCAGCCTTTGCTCAGGTAATGGTTCAAAGAAGGTGGTACAACGCGACATGATCAAATGCACCATGCTTTCATCAAACGGTTTCTGAAGCAACCAAAAACGAGGACAACATTTTATGAAGTAACCACCAAAACCAATGACTGAATTTTTATTCTAACATGTCTTTACCATATCAAAGGAGAACAGCTCAACGAGACCATCACTCACAGGAACAAGAACCCGAGTGCTGAACATATCCTGCTAAAGCACATCGAGTTCAGATTGTTCTTGTGATCAAACAAGTAAAACAAGGCTGACGAAAAAGAGTCTTTTTTACCATTTTAGATCCTGAATTAACCAACCACTTTGGAGATTTTGACATCACTACTTCTCCATGAATCCTGCAATTGAGGGAGAAGCTTCATATCATTTCCTAAACAAAAAAACCTAACTTGAAACTTGAAAGGGGTTTGAATACAGGAAGCATACCCGGGATAGAGAGGCATGAAGAGAGGAAAATGAGAAAGAGCTTCACAAGCTAGGGTTCTTATACGATGCTTGTTGTGTTCATCTCTACAGAAAGAAGCCTTCTTTCTTCTCTCAGTTTCTTCTTCTGAGTTTTCAAGCTTAATGTTCTTATCAATATAACAACCACTGCAGCAGCATCCTACCCATTCAATAAACCTGTAGATAAAAATGGAATTAAGAACAATTACGGTTGATTTCGAAACTATGAAGATCATAAAACCCGGAAATTAAAAAAGTTTTAGTAAAACCAGAGAAGACAAAACCAAGAACAGACAAAGAAGAACTGTGTATTATAGAAATTTGATAGAACAGAGCCAGAAGTTATTAAGGACTAATCAAAAAAAAAAAAAAAAATGGAAACTTTGAGACCAAAACGATACAGGAAAACAATAACAGAGCCAAAAACAAAAAAAGGTCCCAATCCAGAAAGCAAAGATATAAGATAAACACGACAAACCCATCAGTAATTCAGTATACATAAAAATGGAAGCAAAAAAGTAGATAGCTGATGATGAATGATTCACATGAACAACGAACAAAGAAAAACCCAGAAGGGAGAGTGTGTGTGTACCTAGAAGGATCATCACCGTGTTTCCAGATAACGCATAAGTCCCAAGTTCTGGAATCGACAAAGGGTCGAAGAAACTCCTTCACTCTCTCACCACCTCTCATCATCATCATCTCTCTCTCTGGCTTACTCTCACTCTCACTCAAGAATAAGAAAAGCCAAACAAAAAGCCTGAATCTTTGTGATCTCTTTTGGTCTTACTTATAAATTGATGCAAGGAGAGAGAGAGATGTTTTGGCATATATACAAAGCAGTTGCTCTGTCAAAACAAATCATATCGGGAATATACGATCGTACAAGACAATGGTAACCAACTCCACTTTTTGAATTAAAACCCAGAGAGAGAGAGAAAGAAAGAAAGAAGAGTGAATCGTCTGCGAGTCTCTGTACCCAAATCCGTGACAGAGGTGACTGTGACATCTGTACAGAGAGAGAGGGTAAGAAAAAGAGAGTTTTTTACTCTGACTGTACGAAGAAAGTTATCATGTGCTTGAAAACGGCCATAAAGAGATTTGAAGCAAAACAAAAGAAAACAAAGGACTGTATGGGTTTTGATAGCAACACTTAACAATATGAAATGAGCTTGCTTTTTCTTTGTTTCTTCTTCACTTGATAAAACCCATCCTCTGTACTATTTACTTTATCAAAGGAACGAGCTTTCAGAGCTTTATTACTTTCAAAGGAAAAGTTTGGACCTTTGATTCTGTTTTTGGTTTTGTACTCTTGTTTCATGTGAATTGGACAATGTCTTTAACAAAACAGAGCTCAAAGATACCTTTTTATTATCACTACAGCTAATTGATGGCTATTTTGTATCTAATTAATCAATCAAATGAGAAAGAAAAGTATGAAACTTGAATCAGACCAAAACTGTCAAAATGAATAATTTTTGAACAAGTCAAAGCTAAAGCTTTGAAATTTTACCGTCGTTTTTAGAAGCTCAACTCTTTTCATCATCTCTGGCAAGTTTAGCAGTATAAAATGGCTATTTACGGAGTTAAAATTAATGTAGTTACATGGAGAAATATAACAAATATATGCCAAGGTTTACATTTATACAGATGTATTTGCATACGCCAATACAATGTCGATGGTCATTGTTTAAGTGTTCTTCCATAATGGAACCAATTGATCCAAATCTAAGGACATGACAATTTCTTAACATTGCTAAGCTTGATAGAAGGTGATTTGTGTTCATAACCCGAATCAGACAGCCTTCTCTGACCAAGTATACAGTTCCGGTTAGGGTGATGGTTATGATGATGGTTATTATTGACATCCTTAGCCCACAGTGGATAGAGCTTAAATTTTTTTTACTGATAAGGCCACGGAAGGGTGGTTACCTTAACGTAGATCAAAAATCTCGAACCTAAGGTTCGAGTTCTTGTAGACGTTTGAGCAATGCTCATAAACTGGGTTCCCATCTTCTGGTTCTTTGTGTGGGTGGAATCCAGTCTCTGAGCAGCCTTTCAGTACCTCCATTCCTCCAGGGTCCGTTAGCTTAAATATCCCGTAACTCCTGCCAAAAAATCAGTTTGAGAGTCCATCAAGGAAATAGGTTGACTGAATAGTTGACTCCACAGTAACGACAGCTTTGGAAGAACATACTTAGAGCTATCGGTTGGAGCTACGACGATTGCAAAAGCCTCTGGCACCATTACCTAAAAATAACATGATGGGGGAAAGTGAGAACAGAATTGTCTCAAACCTTGTATATATGCAAGTTGGATACAATAGAGATGTACCTGATACGAGTAATGTGTATGCAAATCTACAGATGACATGAAACAACCCTGAGAAGGATGAGTCTGTAAAATATGCATAAACTCATTATAATAAGTCAAGACAAAGTAGATAAACAGATCACTAAACATCTCAAAACATGGAGGGAGACGAGAGATATGTACATGAATCCATCCTACGGGATAGAGTTCTCTTTCATTTTGAATGGAAAACACTTCCACTTCATTCATAGCCTGACACTGCAATTTTTTAGCACCTGAGTTAGCACCAATTTTTACGTTGAACACCACGAAATGATCGAGATAGTCTTTCTAAGATACTCACAGAATTGGAAGTAGATTCTTGCTTAGGTATTATCAGAGTGGTTACATAAAAAATTCCTCTTTCCTACAGCATGAACAGAAATAGAAAAGTGATTAGTGATTACCATCAGGTTCATGAACCTCGAAAAAACAAAGAATCCAGGAACAGAAGCAAAGCAACCATGAATCATGATCATAAAAGAAGGTTTAAACTTTAAACCAATCAGCAATAGCATTGATTGAGTTTCACTAAAAATTCAATTTTTCCAAAATCATCCGTTACAAGTTGTAATTAGGAACAATAAAGTCAGAGACTTTCTAACATTTTCCTTCACTTTCTCACCACCCAGATACTCTTATCACCCAAAGTAATCAACTTGAATGTGAAGAAAGCAAAAACAATCTTACAAGAAAGGCAGCGAGAGTCCCACAAGTCTCGAGGTCCTTCTCAGTGTTCTCTCTTGCAAGCTCAGTGAAATCCTCCAACAACCGTTCTGACTAAGAAGCACAAACACAACAACGATTAAATCAAAATTCGAAATCCGTAATCGATCCTACCAAATCACAGAGAACTGAAATTCAAAAGAAAAGTCTAAAATTTCTTACGATATGAACATCTCTCAGTATCTTGGGCTCCGATGATTCACCGTGATTATTCTTATCGGTACCGGAAATTAGAACCCGAGAAACGTGAGAAGATTTACATGTCACGTTCTCTACGCAAGAGAGCGACGGAGATGGAGACGAGAGCGTTACCATGGAAGCAGAAACATCGGCTCCTCTAATGGATGAGCATCGAAGAACGAGAGTGACAACAAAGAAATCTCGCCGACCTCAGTGAACCGGTTTCTGATGTCACGGTCCAGTAAAATTGGTTTTGAAAAACCGATTCGGAGAGTGTTAATTTCTCTTAGTCAAAGTTTTAAGGTCAAACTCAAATATATAGAAAAATATAAGGGTAGTTTAAATGAAGATATTCAGATACGCGACACGTGTTCAGGTCACGGATCAACGGTGAGTATTAATATCTGAGATTTAGAGTTTATAAAGACCGCCGCGTCTTTGTGTATATCGCCTCCACAGATCTAATCGCTAAAGTCATCGTCGTCGTCGTCTCTTCTCTCAAAATCAAAACGTACGTGAGTTCCAAAAACCCTAGCTTTTTCTTGTTTCAATTCCATTTTCCTAGCGTGAATTCAATTTTCTTCTCGTCAATTTCATTTCTCCGATCTGAGAATCCATGAATTTCTGGGATCAAAAGTATATGATTTTTGTGTAATCTAGCTTTGATTATCGATGTTGCTGCGTTTTAATGGATTTGATGTGTTTGGAGAATGAAATTGTTTTGTTGTTGTTTAAGCGTTTCTTAGGTGTGAATGAGTGAGAAATGAGGATAGCTTAAACCTGTTTGATCGCATTTGAGGTTTTGATGATATAATCAGATATGGAAATTGCTGTTGTTGTGATTGCACATTTAATTGTTGTTAGGTGCTGATCACAGAATTGTTTTTTCTTTATGGCTAATTTTTGTAGCGTTGTTATAAAAATGGCTGAGGCAACGCCTGCTTTGAGGAAGCCTGTGTTCACCAAGGTTAATGAGCTGAGACCAGGAACCAGTGGTCACTCGCTGAATGTGAAAGTTGTCAACACGAAGATGGTGTTGCAGAGAGGAGGAGGAGGTCGTCCCATGGGTCCTCAGGCACGTCAGATGCGAATTGCAGAATGTTTAGTTGGTGATGAGACTGGAATCATAATCTTTACAGCAAGAAATGATCAAGGTGAGAGAATAAATGCTTTTGTGATGGTTTTTTAGATGCTGCTTCTCTTCTTAGTTAGCAATCTTTAATGGCACGTTTCTGTTCTAAGTTAGCATCTTTATAGTCCATACTGGTTGTGAATATGTATGTGAAACAAATAATAGCAGGAAAGTGGTTTGCTTTGCTGCAACATATGAATATAGTTACTGGGTATTTCTCATGTAATGTAAAGATTTCTGTCTGATGCTATTATCCATTTTTTTATCAGTGGATTTGATGAAAGAGGGCAGTGTATTGACTCTGCGTAATGCAAAGATCGACATGTACAAGGGGTCTATGAGGCTTGCAGTTGATAGATGGGGACGTGTTGACGTCGCAGAGGAGCCCACAGACATCACCGTGAAGGATGATAACAATCTTTCGCTAATCGAGTATGAGCTTGTGAGCGTCGAAGCTTGATATGGTTCCTCCACAAAAGAAAGCAGAGCGACTCAAAAAAAACTTATGTTCTAGTTGGAGAAGCAAAAGCCTCTTTGGTTTGAGTTTTGCTATATCAGAATTTGCTGGTGGATTTGAGTCTTTATGTAGTATCCGGCTTGCCTTTGATCTACCGTTCTTGTTTTGAAAATCAGGTTGCCGTCTTTTTGTAGATTGATTCTCTATTTAAATATCATGGGATGATCTTTCTCTTGTTTTAGTTTTTGTTCTTATGTTTTTCCTTGGAAACAAATTATAAAGGCATACTACTTTCACATCCAATGAGTTTCTGTTATGTTACAATGTAGTATTAGTTGATGCAAACCGGTAGAATCAATTACTGACATAATTAAAACCTTGAGAGAGTAAATTCTCAAATGTGCATCCCATCATATATAGTATCCCAAGTTGTTGCTTTTAGTTAAATTGAAGCTGAGAAATATAAACCTTGACATGATTTATTCTTTAGTGTTTAGGAATCGAATTAAAGAAAACACAATTTTCAATAAGCTCATGGAATTTTTTCATACATCAAACATATATGTGATTTTCATACATATAGTACGTAGATGTTATGTTTGTGATGAGGATCTTCAAAGCATATTCAAGGACACTTGGATCCGCCTTTGGAGTTTTTCATATCACGGTAGCAAGGACATTCATCTTTGTTTCCATAAGTACCCGAAGGAACACAATTACACTGCTGGCAACATATATTGCAGTCCTCAAGGCACTCCTCATGTGTTCGATCTGCCTTTGAGCATCTCACATTGCACTTTCCACCGCATGCTGCAAATTCATTTGTCATCATCACAAATCAAATCTTAGAATTTCAGAAAACTAGTTTCAAATGAGAAATAACCTTTTTTTTTTTGAAAAAGAAATGAGAAATAACCTTTAATTAAAAATAACTAACTAGATATAAGTATACACTTACACGAATCAGCGCTTGAAAGTACAAAATATGAAGATGTGAGGAGAAGAGAGATTATGAAGAATTGTACAGCCACGAGCATTTTCATTTTTGGTTTTAAGTTTTAGGCTTTATCTTCTTTTTTTTCTCGATAGAGTTTGTTACGTAAGAAAAACTTAAAAGATATGCGAAAAGAAAAGTAGTGATGATGAATTGTGGTTCAAAAAGAGGACTGACTACTTATAGTGAGAATTTTAAGTGAAATGTTTGTTATCTGTTGTCCAATTTAAATTAAAAATAAAAAATAAAGATTTCATACTTGTTATGTCGATATACTATTTTGTTGTAATTCTCACAATCTCTCTATATTTTACTCTTTCTTTCTCATTTGTGTTCACTTGTTCTAGAGAGAAAACAAGAACACGTTTACTTTAATTGTCTACATTGATATTTCGGATCACAAGGATACTCTTACACATACACATAACACATACATATAGTGGTTTATCTCCACTTGCTACTCTAGACACATGAACCTTAATCATGACTCTTACACAAGCCATACTCCTAAACACTAGGCTAACTATTGACCTTACTTCTAGATAGAAGTCATACAAGCAACGTTTAACAACTCTCGTAGACTCTTACCACTCCTACTAACAACCATTTAGACAAAACACTCTTCACTAGTTTGGGCCTTTTCACTTGTAGGCCCATCACACCAAACAGAAAAACACCAAGCCCAACTTCCTTGTTGACTTGTCTTCTGTCGTTGACTCTCTTTGTCGACTTCTTCTTCTTCTCTTTGCTCTGCTAAAGCTTTCTCTTTGTTGCAGGTTTAATCAAGGACTCAATTCCCAACACTCCCTCTTGAGTCCTTAGATTAAACCCCCAATTTCAATTTAGGGATTTTAATCCCATTGCTCCTTGCTTCGTCTTCTTCTCGATTTTGAGAAGTTCTTCATCATATCCCTCCTGCTTCGATTCTTCTTAATCGAGCTTCTTTCTCTATCCGTGGTGCATAGCTTCTCCAACGGCAACTAGAGGTCACAACTCTCACCGATCACCAGTCACCGTCACGGTGAAAGTCTCCGCCGCCGTCTTCAACCACCACTTTGGTAAGTTGGCTCTTCTTCTCCCTCTTAAGCTGGATCCCCATGGATCCAGTTTCTTCATTTTTGTGCGAATATCTTTGCCATCTCTTGGCTAGTTTTCTTCGCAATTTTCCTCTGTTTCTCTTTGATCAAATCCTTGACCAAAAAATATTTTACTTGCAGGTAACACTTCGACTCTTTAGCTTTTCTTTGCCTTGAGCCTTCTCCATGTCACCTCCAAGTCTTCTCCGTGAGCTCTTCTCACGTCTCTTGCTCGGCTGACATTGCAACCGGCTGCTCCCTTTCTCTTTAGGTGAGCATCTTTTCTCTCTTGCTTGGTGTCACTGTGATCACCAGCCTCTTTCTTCTCCTTTTTTTTTTCGATTCTCATAACCATCACCTTTGGCTTTAGCTTTAGGACACTTTTTCTCTGACTTGAACCACCACCTCGGCTTTCACTACCGTAGTATGGTTGGCTTCTCCTCAAGTCATCACCTTAGCTTTCGGCCTTAGTTGTTAGGCTCTTGAATCATCAACCTCCGCTTTCTCGGACTTGGTTTGTTTGACTCCTTGAACCGTTGGCTTTGGTCTTTCTCTAACCTTGGCTTCTCTTTCTCCTTCTCGTTTCAGCTTACGAACCACTCGGATTCTCAGCCTCAACAAGCATCTTCAAGCTTCACCAATACAATGTCGAAGAAGGATTGAATTCATCACCTTTCACAACACCATCTCCACACCGTTGTCTTCATTGCTTCTTCCAGAAGATCTCCATGTCTACTTGGATGCACCTGAAGCCCTCCTTCTCTAAGGTACGGTGGGAAAGAGTTTGTGTAGGTTGGTGGTGCTCTTTTTTGTCACCACATCTCTTTCCTTCTCTTCTTTTCCGACATAATCTCAGCTTTGCTCTTCTTTTCCCTCAGCCTTACACTTCTCTTTCTTGTGCAGGCTCTTCTCTTCTTTTGTCTTGAGCTCAGGTCCACTCAAGGTCTCACTCTCTTCTTCTTCTTCTTCTACGGCTTCTTTGCCGTCTCACTTACAACAGCTTCTTGGGCTACATCATCTCTTCATCTTTGCCGTCTTCTTCTTACGGCCAGCTTTCTTCTTTGTTGATGGCTGTATCCATCTTCCTCACAGCTTCTTCTTCTTCTTCTTCTTCCTTGGACAGGCTCCAAGATCAAGTAAGCTCTGATACCATGTTGACAATCTCACTTAGTAACTTCCTTGTTGACTTGTCTTCTGTCGTTGACTCTCTTTGTCGACTTCTTCTTCTTCTCTTTGCTCTGCTAAAGCTTTCTCTTTGTTGCAGGTTTAATCAAGGACTCAATTCCCAACATATTTTAAGTTACTAATATTCACATACAGAATAAAATCATATTCATAGACTTTTATGACTAAGTACGTAGTGTTGAAAGATCTTTTATGTAACCAGTATTGAAACATTTATGAATTGGAAAATTTGTTTCTTACAGTGCATATTTATTTCAAGTTACATGACAACTTATAACAATTTTTAGTTTTTTGTTTTTAAAAAAGAAAAATCGTGATGATTATGACACACAATTTGTTAATATTTGTTTACTTATTTGTAAATTTGTTAAAAATATTACATATTTTAGATTAACAAGATAGCTAGTAAACATGGACTAAACACATATTCAATTTCTGTTTAATATTAAGAAAATATCAACTATGCTATTAGCTTGTAACAAAATCATGAAAAGGAATTACTGTGTAGTAATATCCAATCAGATTTTTGTTACAGAAGTATTGAAATTCAAATTTTATATCAAATAAGTATTATTTTATAAAATCTGGCTGGCATTTAATAAAATTTCCTCTATATTTAGACAGTTGTTTGCTTAGAGACAGTTGTTTGCTTTATGATTCTTTTCCATTTTTTTGTTCTAAAATTTAAAATATAAATCTTAATAATTACACACAAATCTTTATCTGAACAATAAAGGTAAGAGACAAGAAAGGAATGCTAATTTTTTTTTTATCCACATGATTTTTCTTTATTAATAACATGTATGGACTCGTTGAGGACTCGTTCCAAACTCATTGGACAAATCAACCACACTACTTTTAAACAAAAATCAAATCTTCTAAAGAAAATCAGAGAAGAATGGATTTTTTACCATGGAAAGTTGCGAACTTTTAAAGAGAATAGACTAAAAATAGTAATTTTGATCAAAACATATATCCATCTCCCATGACATCCTTTTTCTTCTCTGCCGTTGTAACACGTTTGTCAGAAGACGCTCCTAATAGGATGAGCTAGAACAGCTTGAATTATCCGTCGTGAACAGTAGTGGTGGTTGTTATTTCCGTGACACCAAACTCATCTTCATCACTCATTGGATCCATTTTGTCGAGATTGATGAGATTGATGATCATATATATGATATATCCTCTATATTACTATTTAAGGTAAGTAAAAATGAGGAATTGTACTGAAAAAAAAAAAAACTTATAGTGATGATGGAATGTGGCTATATGATTCTATATCTACTTTATTTGCTTGCTATTCTCTCATCTAGAGCTGGTCTTAAGTCTTTAAAAGTCGTAAGCGAAGTGAATAAATTGGTTGATTTACATATTTTCAAAAAAAAATTAAAACTTAACAGAAAAAAACTAATAAACTGATTATGTATTAAACAAAAGCTATAAACATATTTTTTTTTTGGTAGGCAGCTATAAACATATTTTTTACTCAAACATTTTCAATATTTCCTTAATCGTTTTTAAATTTTATTTTAGTGTAATATATAATTTTCGTTTTATTAGCATTTTATTAGCCATTATTTTCGTTTTAAAATGTTAACATATTATAAATAATGGCTAATTGGTGAGTGTTATTATAGAAATAGCCAGTTTCTTAGAATAGTAGCTGATCTTGATTCAAATATTTGACAAAAGTAAAGAAAAAACATGTGGGCGTTGAAAAAAATAGGGAAAAACACATGTGTGAAATGCATTAAGAATATAATTAGCACTTAGCAGCGACGACTAGGCGATAGATGTATAGTCCTTTATACCCAAAAACAGATAAATAAAATAAACACAAATTATTCCTTTGGACGAATTTGCAAAACAAGGAAAGACGACAAAATTAAGCTTTCTTCTTTTACTTCTTTGCGGCTAACAGTGTTTTCCACATGATCCAAATGCTTTTTTTTTTTTTGTTTCCTTTTGGAAATTTTGAAAACGCTTTCTTTATCAATTTTTTTTTTTTTTTGAAAACGCTCTGCTATGTCAGTCTAGGTGGCAAAATTATGCCTAACATCTAGGGATGTGAAATTGACGCAAATAGTACGAACTAAACCGAGCTACCAATGAACCGGGTTTTGATAAAGCGAGGTATACATTTGAGAATTTGGTTGGGTTCATTCGATGAGGAAATTGTTTTATTAATCTAGAACTGATTTAAATAGAAAACTTCGGTGAGGAAACTGTTTAACTAAACCCATAAATACCAATTTTTAACATTTAAAAAGTTTCAAAGAAAAAACTTTTCTATGTTCTGTCATCATTTATAACGTACTTAAATTAATTTCGAGTAAACGGTTAGTCATAGTTTTTTTTTTTTTTTTACGTCTACTTTTATTAGATCAAAGATAACTTTGAGTATTAATCACAGTGTAAAACATCATAAATTACATGAGAAATCAAAGAGTGGTAGTAATAAAGTTATTGGGGATGCTTTTCTTGGCTAAGATATCTGCTGGTTTATTGTGTACTGTTAAATCATAGTTATAATTGGGATTTGGGATCATTTTTAGAAAAAGATTATATAAAAAAGTAAAAACACACAAATATTCCATTTTCCGCTGTTGTAGATTTCTACTAATACCTAAACAATTCAAGAGTTTATAACTTTTCTATTATTTTGGCTCTACCTATATATATATGACATATATCAACAGTGGTCTGATTTTTGGGTCTTTACAAGGTATCCGAGAAATTAGCAGGCTCCAAGCCTCAAGTTAGCCATGTTTTATTTTCTGTCTTCGTATTCATCTCCATGTAGACTTTTACTCTTTGGGTAGAAAATTCCATATAGACTTGGTCAAGTGTATAATTATTACTTTTAGAATAAGACTTGGTCAAGTGTATAATTAAACGACATCTCCAGTGCAATTATGTCAGCACTACGGCCAAAAAGAGTCCAAAGTCGTTAATATCTCTAAGGAATGGGTTGTATCCTTGTATTGTATGTTGAATAATCTTAGCTTCTTCTTTTTTTGACACCAAATAATCTTACCCTGTGACCTGTATAGTGTACTATATATAATTCGGATAATAGATATGGACACCTATTAATTAAACATGGAATTTTTACATTATCATTTAAAGGTATTTTTAATTTTATCTACCCTATTACAAACGATCAACATAATTATCATGGTATCACAAAACAATTTTTTTTTTTTTTTTTTTAATTTTTTTTTTTGTCGATGCAAACGTGGTACTTTTGTGAGGAATTCATAGTATATAATCTGACTAATTTAATTACTATGTTCTGCTGAAATGATAAGCACATTTTCTACGAACCTGTACTGGACCAAAACCTAGAGTAACACTAGCTAGGTTCTAGAAATGTGTCCAACAACCGTATCAACTAATCCAAATAATTTATTGGAAATTTTTTAGTATCTCTAAGAATGAAACTTACAAAGTAAAAGAAGCATATATATAAATTAAGTAGTGTGTAAGCTCACAGACGCAACCAGAAAAGCCATGACTTTTTTTGGAAAACATCATTTTCATCTAAAATTACCCAGCTCTTTCTCTCTTGAGATTCTCTCTGTCTCTCTCTTTATATTTAAAGAGATAGATGGATTTGAAAAGAGAGAATTAAACATAGTAACCTAATAAAGGAGAACAAAAAGAATGGAAAGAGGGAGAGAAATAGGAGAAGGAAGCGCATCGTCGTTAAGGGAACAACGAAACCTCAGAGAGAAAGAGCGACGAATGCGCATGAAACATCTCTTCTCTGCACTCTCTTCTCATGTTTCTCCCACTCGTAGGGTCTGTCTCTATCTCTCTCTCTCTCTACTGTATTTTATGCGTATATACAACAAACTACACATTTTTTCTTAGATGTATGCGTTGGTGTTGTCTAAGCGCCTAGACGCGTAGGCACCCGCCTATGCTGCGAACACCCAATGGACGTCTTGATTTTAACCAGATCAATCAAAGTGCAGCATTTAGCTAGGGTTCTCGGTATTAGTACAACGCCAGCTAGGACAACCATTATCTATATAGTGTAGAGTTAAAAACAAATTAATGATTCATATAGATATAGGCCTTTTAATTTACGTTTTAGTTAATAAAGACATTGATTATAACCAAATTCATGCAAAAGACATGCAAGTAATTAACTAGATTGTGCTTTTATTGGCACCAACAGTTGCCAGTGCCTCAACTTATAGATCAAGCGGTATCATACATGATCCAATTGAAAGAGAAGGTAAACTATTTGAATGAGAAGAAAATGAGTTTGTTAAGAGGAGAAGTCAAAAATCGCTCTGCAGGGTCGTCTCTTCTGCCAAAACTCAGTATTCGTTCACGGGATTCGGTCATAGAAATGAATCTGGTTATGGATCTAAACATGAAAAGAATAATGCTACACAAGCTTGTGAGTGTTTTTGAAGAAGAAGGAGCTCAAGTAATGAGTGTTAATCTTCAGAACTTGAATGATAGGACCTTCTATACAATCATAGCCCAGGTAACCTGCATGTGTCCTGTCTTTTTTTTAGCATCTCTTGTGCAACGTCCTTTAAATATAGATTTGAACTAATTTTGAAGGATCATATATGATAAATTAATAATCGGCTAAATGAATATTTGCAGGCTATTATTTGTAGGATCGGGATTGATCCATCAAGGATAGAAAAGAGACTAAGGGATATAATCTCATGATTAATTTTTTGAAGCATTTTTAAATCCCAATTAAATCACAAGTCTACGATAGTTTGTTTGCAAAAATTTAATGGTTTTTCTAATTAAAGAATGTGTAATTAGTTCTTTAAACATGAGAGATGTTGAGTATTTTAAAGAGTGAATTGGTGTAATAGCCCTATTATTGTTTACGGTAAGGGAATGATAAATGTCTGATTAAAGTAAAAACCATTTCCTCAAGTATATGGACGAAAAGCCTCATCTTCAACATCTCTTTATTTTTCTCTTTTCTTTCCATTTGAGACTATATCTTCAAAACATGTTCAAGGACACTTGGATCCCCGCCTTTGGAGTTTTTCCTATCGCGGTAACAAAGACATTCATCTTTGTTTCCGTATGTGCCTCAGAGAACACAATTACTCTTCTCGCAACATATGTTGCAGTGCTTGAGGCACTCTTCATGTTGTCCTGCCTTTGAGCATCTCACATTTCACTTTCCACCACATGCTGCTAATTCATATATCATCACATATAAAATCTTACAATTATAGAGGAGTAATTGAAGTGATAATAATTCCTAAATAAATATAATATGTATACTTACACGAATCAGCGCTTGAAAGTACGAAAAAAAAAGATGTGAGGAGCAGAAAGATTTTGAATTAGAATTTTATAACCGCGAGCTTCATCTTCAATTTTGGTAAAATTTTAGCCCTTTTTTCTCGAACAAAGTTTGTTACCTAACCTAAGAAAGAAAAGAAAACCAAGCTTTTACAAACAAATGCAAAAGAAACAAATAATGATGACTTGGAGGAGGATGAAATTGTAGCTATGAAAAGATTATTACTTTTTATGCCCGTATATATACATGTAATATTTAGTTCACTATATTCACATACAAAATCAACCATATAGACTAAAGATGAATTTTAATTTTTTCTTATAGTACATATTATCTTGCTTTGCATGAAAATTATATATAACTTCTAACAACAGTGGTGATCTAGCCACAGAATTAGCTATAAAAGATTATAGATTTAACATTTTAAAAGTTGGCTTAGTTATTTTTTCTAGTCTCGGATTTTCATTGGCTGTGGTAGTGTCCAAATGACTAGTCTCTTCTTGTGCGAATTCAAATATTTGAAGAAGGAAAAAAAAAAAGAACATGTGGAAAATGCAATAAAGAATAAAATTGGCCCTTACTGCAGTTTCTAAGAAAGTGGTCAAGCAGTGAGACGATATATACACAGTGTTATTCCTAATTAAGTATCATTGTACGATTTTCAAAAACTAGGAAAGACTTACAAATGAGGTTCTTTGAATTTGTATTTTTTTTTTCGCGGCTAACCATGTTCTCCTTTTACTTTTTATGTCATTTTGCTCAGTAGCAAAATTATGACCAACATCTACCTGGACTCCAAGACTTAACAAGCTACGCATGTTTAATTATCTTTCTTTGTATTCAACTCCGGTAAACGTTTAGATCGTTCCATGTAGACGTTCATGTAAACGAGATCTCCGGTGAATGATGTCGGTAATACGGCCAAAGAGAGCTGAGGCCTTTAATAATTTCTGTAAGGAATGTGTTAACGTTGTATCTTTTTCTTGTATGATAATGATAGCTTGTTGAATAATATTCTTAGGTTATGGCGCCTTGTGCAATATGTGCACCTAATTAATTGAACATGATATTGTTTGATTTAGTGGTCCCAATTCTATCGGTATACAAAACAATTTTCCTTTTCTTTTTGTCGTCGATGGAAACATAGTGCTGTTGTAAGGAAATCTGTTTTGTCTACATACTACAGTGGCTTTGACTATTTTACGCCATTGAAATGGTTTTTGATAATAATTATCTCTAAACCTACTCTACTGATCAGCAACTCACTGGACTAAAACTTATAATTAGTAATCTGAAAGAAGAAGAAACATATATCTGAACGTTAGCTAGGAATCTCATCTCACATGCACGTACGGTAAGTTAGTAATCTTACATGAAATATAAGATGCGACCTAAACTAATAAATATACAAGTGACATGGACCAAACCACTGAACACTTTCTATGTCCTAGCTAGTAATGTGTAATCTAAATTCATTTTTTCTTTTATGATAAACAGTATATTTCTAATTATTTTTAAAATTTTTGTATCTTTAAGAGTGGAAATTCCCAAGTAAATAGTAAAATTTACTTGGTAGGCCAGAAAGATGCATGCATCTCTTATTAATTAGTGTGTAAGCTCACGGACGCAATCACAAAAGCCATGACTTTATTCCAAAAGCATCCCTTTCATCTAAATGTCGCAGCTCTTTCTCTCTAAATGAAGATTTGTGACTCTGTCTCTCCCTCTCTATTTCTTTATCTATATATAAAGAGAGATGGGTTTGAAAAGAGAAAAACATGTGCATAAAAGCTTCAAAGAAAACAAAAAGAATGGCGAGGGCAAGAGAAATAGGAGAAGGAAACTCATCGTCGTTAAGGGAACAACGAAACCTCAGAGAGAAGGATCGAAGGATGCGCATGAAACATCTATTCTCTGAACTCTCTTCTCATGTTTCTCCCACTCGCAAGGTCCGTTTCTCTCTCTAACTCTCTCTTCTCTCTCTCTCTCTCTCTCTCTCTCTCTATATATATATATATCTAATATTAAATTGTACATGTGTTTTCTGCGTATATATACAATACAGACATCGTTGTCCAAAAAAAAAAAAATACAATACAGACATTATCTACACAATTACTGTAAGATGTACGCATTATTCTAAAAAAAATTAATATTTTGATTAATTGGTTAGGCAGTTGTCCCTCTATGACCATCTAATTAGCTCTCTTTTAAGTACGTTGTCTAATTTAAAAACAAATGATTCACGTAGGGTTTTAACACTTTAGTTATATATTGAATATAACCACATTCATGTAAGAAATAAAATGAAAGTAATTAACTTGGTTTTTTTTTGGGGCTCTAACAGTTACCAGTGCCTCAACTTATAGATCAAGCGACATCATACATGATCCAATTGAAAGAGAATGTAAATTATTTGAAAGAGAAGAAAAAGACATTGGTACAAGGAGAACTCGGGAATCTCTATGAAGGGTCGTCTCTTCTGCCGAAACTCAGTATTCGTTCGCGGGATTCGACCATAGAATTGAATCTGATTATGGATCTAAACATGAAAAGAGTAATGTTACACGAGCTTGTGAGTATTTTTGAAGAAGAAGGAGCTCAAATAATGAGTGCAAATCTTCAGAACTTGAATGATAGGACCACTTACACAATCATAGCCCAGGTACCACATCCACTCATATGTTTGTATGTATAATACACACGTACACGCATGTGTCATGTCTTTTGAATAGATATTAGTATTATATATACGACTAATCGTCTAAAATAAATATTTGCAGGCTATCATTAGTCGGATCGGCATTGATCCATCAAGGATAGAAGAGAGAGTACGGAAAATCATTTATGGATATATATTTTGAAGCATGAAATATCCCAAATTATATTTTGAGTTCGATTAAGACAACATGTTTTCGTTGTAATTTCTTTTTCTTCCTACCGGTTTAATTCGGTTTGACTTGGCGTATGATTTTAGATTGGACCGTATTTAGCAGATTTTACCCGGGACAAAATTTAACCACCAATGGATGTAAATGCCAATAAAATACATTATTGGGGTAAATGTGAAGACAAAAAATAATTCAGGGGCTATATTTAAAAATCTAAATATGGCACAAATTGCAAACCCTTATTTTGGATTTAGGATTTTTTTGAAACCCTTGTCGAAGAGAAAAGAGGCAAAATCTCAGTATAAAGTTTCTCAACACTTGTGGTGTGAGCAAAATCGTGAGAGATGGATCTGATTCAATCCTACGACGAAGAAGAAGCCGTTGCTTTCTCGCCGGAATCTTCACCGCCTCGTATGTTAAAGGCGAAATCATCGGCGCCGGAGGTAGACGATACGGCGTTAGCTCTCACGGTGGCTAACGTGAATCGATCAAAATCGAAGCCGATTGACCCGACTCAACACGTCGTCTTGTTTAACCCAACCCATGAGCAGATGTGGGCTCCGATTTACGGCCCCGCGCATCCGTATGCCAAAGACGGGATCGCTCAAGGGATGCGGAATCACAAGCTAGGGTCTGTGGAAGATGCTTCGATTGGATCATTTGGGTTCGATGAGCAGTACAATACGTTTCATAAGTACGGTTATGCGGCGGATCCGTCTGGGATGAATTACGTCGGCGATGTTGCGGCGTTGAAGCAGAACGATGGTCTTTCGGTTTATAATATCCCTCAGAGTGAGCAGAAGCGGAGGAAGATTGAGAAGAATAAAGAGGAGAGGGAAGGAGAAGAGAAAAAGGAAGAGATTGAGCCGGAAGCTGAGAATCCGGCGACGGAAGCTTGGCTTATGAAGAATAGGAAGAGTCCATGGTCGAGGAAGAAGGAGGTGGTTCAGGGAGAGTTGACGGAGGAGCAGAAGAAGTATGCGGAGGATCACGCGAAGAAGAAGGAAGAGAAGGGACAACAAGGTGAAGCCAAAGGGGAGCATTATGCGGATAAGAGTACATTCCATGGCAAAGAGGAGAAAGATTATCAAGGAAGGTCTTGGATTGAGGCTCCGAAAGATGCAAAAGCGAACAATGATCATTGTTACATTCCAAAACGTTTGGTTCATACATGGAGTGGTCACACGAAAGGTGTTTCTGCTATTAGGTTCTTCCCAAAGCAAGGACATTTGCTTCTCTCTGCAGGTATGGATTGTAAGGTTAAGATTTGGGATGTGTATAACTCTGGTAAATGTATGAGGACTTACATGGGACACGCCAAAGCTGTGAGGGATATTTGCTTCTCCAATGATGGGTCTAAATTCTTAACTGCTGGGTATGATAAGAACATTAAGTATTGGGACACAGAAACTGGCCAAGTTATATCGACTTTCTCGACTGGGAAGATTCCGTATGTAGTTAAGCTGAATCCGGATGATGACAAGCAGAACATTTTGTTGGCTGGTATGAGTGATAAGAAGATTGTGCAGTGGGATATTAATACGGGGGAGATTACTCAAGAGTATGATCAGCACTTGGGAGCAGTTAATACTATCACATTTGTTGACAATAACAGAAGATTTGTCACATCGAGTGATGATAAGTCTCTCCGTGTTTGGGAATTTGGGATCCCGGTGGTTATCAAGTATATCAGTGAGCCTCATATGCATTCTATGCCTTCCATTTCTGTTCACCCGAATGGAAACTGGCTTGCTGCACAGAGTTTGGATAACCAGATTCTGATATACAGTACCCGAGAAAGGTTTCAGCTGAATAAAAAGAAGAGGTTTGCAGGGCACATTGTTGCCGGTTATGCATGCCAAGTGAACTTCTCACCAGATGGACGGTTTGTAATGTCAGGAGATGGTGAGGGTAAGTGCTGGTTTTGGGACTGGAAGAGCTGCAAAGTGTTTAGAACTCTGAAATGTCACAATGGAGTATGCATTGGAGCCGAGTGGCATCCTCTGGAACAGAGTAAAGTCGCAACATGTGGATGGGACGGCTTGATTAAGTACTGGTAAGTAACCTTCTTCCAGTCTATTTTGTTTTTTTTGTTTCACTTATCATCATGATGTGTGCCTTTACTTAACAGTTGCATAATAATAGTTGTTGGTAATATATAATTGTAGCAAAGATAGAGTTGTCATCTGAGTAGCCTTGCATGTAAGATGCGTCTTAATTCTTCTAATCCTATAATCCTAGTCTCTGAGTAATATTTTGAGTTCACATTTGTGGAATGATTTTGCGATTGGGGAGAGAAAGAAAGTCTGACTTTGATTCTAATGGTTTTCATTCATAAAGAAGTTGTGCAATTGTCAAATCTTTGATCATTACCAGTCCATGTAACCATGTTGATTGTGATGTTTTGTTGCACATTTGCAGGGACTAAGATATGACAGAGGCATCACGGAGAAAGAGAGAGTAGAAGGCGCAGAAATCACAGCCTAGCCTGGGCTATACAGTATGCTGCATCTGTGGGACACAAAACCCCTTTAAGTTTTGCTTTCCTCTGTTTTAGATTCTTCAGTGTTGTAACAATCTCGGTTTAATGGATTATGTAGAGGGAAACTATTTCAAATGCTTGAGAGAAACTGTTGACTGAATCGTTACAAATATAGCTTGTAAGACTTGAAATTTTGCAAAAGCTGGATTATTTGCAGTTTTGCACCATTGCACCAATGTTGGCTTTTATTCGGATAAGTTATTATTGGTTTGTTGATTTGTTCTGACTTATGATTATGTCATGCTCCTTAGTTATATTACAGGACTTGAACAAAATGATCTGTTAACAAAAAACTTCTCTTTCATTTCTTAATTAGAGTTACCAAACTCGACAAGGATCTCAAGGATTCTCTGTTCTATACAGCTTGGTTACCCTTGCGGAATAGATCAACGAGTATGTTCCAGATTTTGATCCTCAAAGCGGAAGCTTCTTCGGGTTTAAACCACTTCTTGTGAATCTGGAGATGAAGATAAGACAAGAAGTTGTGTTAAGAACATATTATTTAAAATATATCAAAAGACGAAGATGAAAGAAAAACACACCAATTTCAAATCCTGCAATGTCAGCCTTTGAGGAGCCTCTTCGATGAAACGTCTTATGAAGAAGAGCACAAACAGACCACAGTCGAAATCATTCTTCTGTTGTGGAACCTGAGAAGGTGATGAAATAATTTAGATGAATACTATAATTTGTCTTTAAAGAAGTAAAAAAGACTAGCCTGCACTTCAGCTTCGTTGATCATATTGGGAAGGTCTCTCCATACTTTTGCTGAAATTGGTAAATCCAATGGAGCATCTTGATTTAGATAGTTCCATTCCTCTCTCAGAAATCTGCAACAATAAGTAGTAATTAAAACCACAATATAGTGACGATGGTCTTAGCACTGAGAAACTTTTATGCAATCAGCATCAATACTACGGATTCCTTGGGTCTCACCTTTTGACATTATTAAAAATCGAACTTCTTGGGTGAAGTCCCAATGAATCCAAGTGAATTATAGTCAATCCCGATTCGTCCTCCTTGTCTGGGATGCAAATTATTACTAAGCTCCAGTGGAGACTGAAACATCCAAGAGGGAAAAAAAAAAACACATTAACCAATCTAACAATTGATGCTGACAACATTTCTCCATAAGAAAGAGCAGACTGAGATGTGATAACTCTGATCTATTCTTAGATAGCATCTTTTTGCATAATCTTCTAAGCTTAGATGACAAAAATTACTCTTCATGCCAAAAAAAATGCAATCATAGGATTCAATAGAAAACAGTCACAAAATTACTTACTCTTCATGTATCGGTATAAATATATATGATTTACAGAAGAGATCAAAACCCTTCCACCACCGCCTGAACTTCACAAAATATGCATCCTTGTCGTTACCCTAATCATATTGAAAAGACAAGACAAAGATATCAAACAACACATGAGTAGCCAAGAAGAAAATTATGTTAATCACAAGATTCAAAAATGAGGTAGTATTCTCATTTTCTCTCAATTCTTGTTACAGTTGCACATGAAATACATTTAGACTCAACCTTCTATAATAGAACAATGAAACTTAAAGCATCTTGAGGACTTGAAATTTTTTTGAAATGCAAACTAAACATAATGAGCTCAAAACCATCATAGAAACCAGGGAAAACAATCACCTTGTACGAAACAGCTTCTATGAGCTTCTTGTAGAAAAACGTATTGAAGAAATGACAATTAGCAGCTGTCTCATCTGCTGAAAACACGTGATGTTGCAAGAACCTAGTCAAACAGAAGCTGAAATGATCACAAAGCTATAACTCGAGATATATAATGCAAGTATGCAAGTCGGTACTTAAAAGTCACCTGATGTAGAAATTTATAACTGGCGATGTAAGATATTCCCCAGGTGAAAGGCATTTCAAATCTTTAAGAGATACTTGAACAAGGTCTCGCCCATCACTTTGATCACTAGATGAAGTGGAAAAAAGGTCATATATCTAATTGACGATTACAATAAGTAAACCTACACCAACAACATAGTAGTTTTTCTACCTACCTTGATGGGTAGTAAATATCTTCAGGTAACCTGCAGATTTTACCAAAATTAAGTTATCTTCAACAAGAAAGATTCAGTCACTTGATGAAGATAAACAGTAATAACTCTGTTTTTACCCTTCAGGAAGTTCACATGCTTCGTCTACTACCATTGGAGACTGAGGTTCATCTTCGTCCAAATTAATCACTTTATCATCTGATTTCTATAACAAAAATGTCAGAAAGGGTGCGAAGGTCCTTATTTTAATGTACAATTGTATGGCATAAGATGACATACCTTCCTGCAGCTTGAACTCTGTGATGGCGATGCTTTCGAACTCCACTCCCTGTGAGAGAAAGAAATAAGGATGTCAATACAATAAATTCTCTTCAGAACGATAGGTCTGGTTTGAAAAGTGAAGGTTAGCCAGGACCACATGGTGTGGCATAAATGGCAGTAACTAAGTCACTTTGAACTTGAAAAGACATGAAAAACAATTTCTGAAGCAGTAGCAGGGAGAAAAGATATGGACCTGGGAGTTTCATAGCTAATGACGGGGTTGTCGTCGTCATCATCATCGACAAGTAAGTAAGGGGAAGATTCCTTTGGCTTTCCCTTACCATAAGCTTCATTGGGTTTTCGATCCCCTTTTGGATCCTTAGCTTCAGAATAAAAGTTCTTTTCACTCACCTTACACTTGCTTAATCTTGGCAGTGATCGCCACCCATTACTTTTCTCTATTATTGAGTCGCTATTTGCTTTGCTTTTCCAGCTTCCGCGTCCCAAATCTTGTAGTTTGTCGTTAAACAGTTTTACTGATTGAGCTCCCGCCTGTTAAAAAAGGATTATTAAGAAGCAGCCACCTAAAAGGGTTTTAAAAACAGAGAATGTAAAAACACCATACTTTATGATTGTCACTAAAATGAGCAGCAAATGTTGACCGAGACACGTCTTTCGATCCCGTATTCCCTTGTCCAGAGGTGTCTTTTGAGGCTGTACTCGCTTGCATAAACACATCTGAAGAAACTTTACATGTTAAACACAAACTTTTGCACTCAACACCAACATTAGCTAAGAAAAACTTGCAACAAGATACCTGAGCTTTTCGGTTTCTCGAGAATCTGACATCCGTTGTCCGCATCCTGCTAAAATAAGGTAAAGTCACATGGCATTGTATCAGAGAAATGCATTTAATTTTGTCTAAACAGAGATTGTGACAAAGGATTATACATGATACAAACAAAATCAGAATTATACAAAACAAGTGAAAATCTAAAACAAAGGAGAAGCTTTAGCAGAATATTGAACCAATTGAAAAACTCAAACACTGATCCTCCTAACACATACTACATTATCTTCCACACATCATCAAACTCTAAATTCCACTGCACAATAAGCTTCAGCTACAGATGTAAAGAACACAAAAGCTTTGAGTGACAATCAAACACAGAATGCTGCAATTGCAGAGTAAAAAAAGACAAAACCATTTTGGTCCGTTGTTGGAACATCCTTCGCTGCTTCTCGTACTCGAGGTCTCCGATTCTGTTTCGGATTTTCTCGCCCTTATCTGGCAACTTATCACCGAGACGAGTAAGAAGTGATCTCTGACGCTTCAGATGATCGTCGAGTTCGTTATCCCTGAGGGATCGCACACAGACGGCGGGTTCATCGCCGGAAAGAGTAGGCTCACGCTGCGGAATTTTGTCAGTGGCGATGATCTCGAGCTCGGGAACTTCTTCTTCACCCAAAGCATCGTCCCAATCTATGTTGAACTTTGTTGTCTTCTCCACACGATCTAACTCGATTACTCTTTGTCTCTTCATCTCTTCATCGAATAAAACTGCTCAATATAATTTAGGTTTTGGTCTAGAATTCTCCTGCCTATTTTCATCGCCATAAAACGTTTCGGGTACTTTTCTAAAACAGTGGGCTTCCGACTCAAAACTAACTAAATTGTGGGCTTTCAATTTCAAACGAATTAATAAATAAAATTGGAAAGTTTATATATAAACTAATTTTGGGCTTCCAATTTAAAATCAATCGAATTTGAAAACATATAGCGAATCAATTTAACTTTTATAACAGATATTTACTTTTTGCATTTATTTTAGGTGTTAACCAACAAATTTTGTAACATTATTTATTATATAAAAGAAATACTAAAGCCACGTCGTTTTGATTAAAATCATAAACATAAAACTATAAAAAATTTCGAAATTCTCTATATAAAAAATATCACACAGCTAGATAACCTATGCTAATTCTAGAGACCACAAACAACATTTTGCGCCAAATTTACAAACTTCAACTAGATTAGCAACCTTATCGATGTTATTGCAAACGAACGAGCTCCAATGTTTCAAACACCAGTTTGCTTTTCCAACTTAGTGCATCATGTATTCATGTGAGTGAATAGGACGACCTCAAAAAAAGCTAGGTACTTGACTACTTGTTTTTAGTTTTGGACCAATAAATATTTGTAATGTTAATTTTCGATTTTTAGGTAACTTGCAAAATTAAAAAGTTAGGTAATTTTTCATTGTAATAGTTTTTATTGATCCATTTATATCCAAGAAATACAAATAATTACATTGTGGACTATGGACACAGCTTCTTCTTTAAAAATCTGAAGCTTATGCCATCCCAGGTAGCTCTTTTGTTTATTAAAATAAAAACCCGAGCTAATATACAAACACTAAACCATTTACGTAAGAAATAATAAAAGAATTTCACCCTTAACCAAAATTATTTAATTTCCTTTTTGGTAAATAATCAACTCTTTAAAATACTCAAGAGTTACTTTGTACCGAAATCACCAGGCGTGGACGAACCGTCCTCTTTGAAGATTCGGTTCAACCGAACCGGTTTTCCTCTCCTGGAACTCATGGATCATTCTAATAAGCGCACTAGCTTTCTTGCTTCCTCCACATTCGCCGTTACTTAACACCGTATAAAGAGACCCCATTACCAACGTGTTCTTTACCAGAACCCCAACAACGTCACGTCCTCCGTTAAGACACAAGTTCAGAATCAGAGCAACACAATGCTGCTTCACCGCCGCCGGAGAATCTTCCGACGAAGACAAAATCTTTACCGCGAGTTTCAAACCGCCACGACGAATCACCCCAATCGTCCCATCAGGATACTCCGCAAGCTTCGCCAACGTCGCTAAACAATCCGCCGTGAGTTCGCCGCTAATTTCTTCCGATCTCAACAGATCAAGAAGAATCGGAACAGCTCCGGCGGCGAGAACACGCCAATGATTATCGGATTGCATTAACAAACCCATTACCGCAAGCAACCCGTTACGTTTTGCGGAATCGCCGTAATCTTCTCCTTTAACGATATTCATCAATCCCGAAATCGCGTCTGGATTCTCTCCGATCGATCTGCTGTAATCTTCAACGGAAGAGAGATAAAACAGAGAAGAAGCAGAGTATAGTCTCGTCTCTGTTTTAGCTCCTTCGTTGAGAATCTCTACAATGATCTTCAACCCTTCTCCGGCAATCTTAGATTTTCCGGTAACGTGCTTGGAAAGATTCAAGATCCCAGCCATTGCGTTTTCTTGAATTCTGGAATCTCCGGAGCTAAGAAGCTTTAAAAGTGGAGTTACAGCACCAGCTTTAACCAGACAAGACCTATTAAAACTACTTGTCTTGGTCTGAACACGAATCTCTCTCACGGCTCTGTAAATCATCTCTTCACTGCCATTGATTAACTCTGAAGTGAGAAACTTTGCGATGAGTTTCCCAGCTCCCTTTGAAGCCAAACTCTCCGGCGCCACGTCATCTTGAGTCCTCCTTCTCCGGCTAATCCCCGCCAAAGTGATGCCGTTTGTTTTGCAATGCTTTCGAATCACTTGCCTCACGGATACGTTATCAACCAACTCAGTACTCGCCAGAATCTTCCCGGTTTTAGGGCACGTAATGTTCCCGGATCCAAACCATTTAGTGATGGAGCTCCGATCATAAGTGTGCCCTGTTTCTATAACCACAGGATCCGCCATAATCTCTAGAGAAATTGGACAAAGGAGATCCTCAACTTTCAACCCTCGAATCAAGTCTTGATCTTTCATGATACCATCGTTGTTATGATGATCATCATCATCTCTCTCGATCCGTCGAAGTATAACGCATCTGCAATAGCATATGAATCCCATTAAGCTACTGAGAAGCTCGACTTGAACGTTGCTCTTCTTCTTCTTCTCATCTAACCGCTCTGCAGCTATCTCTTCTCCGATAAAGTTGATCTCTTTAACGCAATCTCCCCATTTTCTGATCCCTACGTGATCCAGGATCCGGTTTATCTCATCTGGATCCGGGACGACTTTGTTCGCAAACAGAGCAAGGATCCGATTAACAGAGCTCATGGCCCGTTTATCATCTGTTTCAAGTTGGACTCCGTACTTACGGGTTTGCCACACCACTAAGTCAATAAGCTCGTTGACTTCGCTCGGTAAGTCAACGGAGGCGACAGGAAACGCACTAAGGCTGGTGGAAATGGATCGAGTCAGGACCCGGAGATGATCCGAGACTTGATCCGAGTTCATCATCATGCATAGTCTAGCTCCGTCTCTTGTGCAGTCTTCAAAAAGGAACTTGAGCTTTTGGAAGCTGACGTGGATCTCCTTGAGGCTCGACACGGCGGCAGAGTTGTGGAAATAGCGTCTGAAATTTCCGACCCGGATCCGGATCTCTTCGAAGACAAGAACTAGGTTTCGGATCCGCCTAAGAGTATCTCTGAAGCTTTGTTTATTGGTGGAGAAGTGTTTAGACTTAAATGTGAGAATGTCGCCGGCTAGTTGAATAAGTGAGTCCAGTAAGGTGACTATGGAGATTGATTCGCATGGTTGCACAGCCGGAAAGGTCAAGATCCGACGACCAGACCCGGTTTTCGTATGGATCATGCTGCTAAGACTTATAGATCAAAGTTTGTTTTTGTATGTTTGTGTTTGTTTCGAGTAACACGGCGACATGGAAGGGGGAAATATATAAAGAGTTGACAAAGGTTTCAAGTTTCAACTTTAGAGACGTGTGGCAATATGTCATTGGATAATGGTTCTTGGAAACCCTGACCACTGACAGAGTGCCACGTGGGATCCGTCGAAAACGAGGAAGAGGTTGCTTCGTAGATCGTAGTGGAGTGTGTGAGGATCCACGTGGTCACGAAGTTACGTGCATGGAGTCTGCCGACATTTGGTACGACCCATGTGTAGGACTTAATTATATTTCCTCCAATTTTTTATTTTTTTTCGATTATTTCAGAAATTCTTTTATTTATTTTCGGTGTAAGTGATTAAATTTCATGACTTACAGAGACCGATACTATATTATCTGATGAATTGTATGGATTTCATTATTAAAAATTGAGAGGTTTACCTAAATATGGTTTTTGGATTTTGTGATAAAAGTCCAGTTTAATTTGTTAACTTGTCGTAGGTTGTTTATCCATATCTATATTATATACATAGTCTCTTTTATTATATATATATATATATATATATATATATTTTATTTTTTAGTCTTCCACAAATAATCACTCGTAATCAATAGAAACTTACGAAAAACATGATTACTTCTTTTGCTTATGTTATCAATCGAATTTAGTATGTTCTTTAAATAGATATATTTTGGTCTATAATCACATCATTTTACAAAACGGTAGGATTTTACGTGATAAATTTAGAAATGTGTTTAGAATGGGCACGTAGAGATTGGCGTTGAAGCTCAACTAATGGGGTGGGTTATTCATCATATCACTTCCGAAAATTCACCATGGAGATATACGTAAAACACATGAAAACGATTTTTCTGCCCTTCTTTGAATTGTAGAAGACAATCTTGTTTGTAGTCCTTGTGCAAAGATAACCATTAACCATCATTTTTGGCATTATCCAAAAACTCTTGTCAAATTCGAAGCCATGCCGATCTGTGGAAGCTTCTTCACCTTCATTTTTGGTTGATTATTGCGAAAATATCATATTTTATTTTGGATTCTTATTAGGTTTGTTACCTGATATGCTTTAAAGAAGCATATTTTCCAGGTACTCTTTAACTCATCAGTTAGGATTGTCAATTGCGACTTGCGAGAAGGAGTTGTTATAATATTCGGGAACAATGGCCGGTTGCGTTATTACTGGACCATTCTTTTTTAAAAAAAAAACTGCAAGAGCCAATTATTTAGGGGAAAGTCAACGGTTTGATAATTTATGGACTCGCTTTCATATTTCACTTTTCCTGCCACTTTGTCCTGGCTGTCCCATCACGAAGTTTCATTTAATCCATTTATAGCAAGAAGCAAATCGATTCGAATCAAATTAAAGTCGAAAGACTATAAACAGATCTCATTGAGATGTACCGGCTTAGTTATCGGCCGTTTATTGCTTAATTAATGTCGGCCATCGCAGGTTTTGATTTGGAAACGGCTAATCAAATACGTTAGAAAAACTCAAAGATGTTTTGATCATGATACTTAATACCATAGCATCGTTTCTTTTCGTATAAATAAAGGGGCAGTGATCTTGTTATTCTCCATCAATCAAAAATTAACAAACTTCACATAAAAATACATTTTCAGCTACAAGTATTCTCATTATGTCTCTCAAGAATGTTCTTCTTCTTCTAGTGGTCGTATGTGTTGTAGTCTCTACGAATGCTCAATTATTACCACAATTTCCCTTTCCTTTTCCATTCCAACCCACTCCCGGCATGCCTGGATTACCCGATATTACAAAATGTTGGTCATCAGTGATGAATATTCCTGGATGCATTACTGAAATTTCTCAAGCAATCTTGAATGGACGGTTTAGCAACATTGGTCCCGCTTGTTGCAAAGCATTTTTGGAAGCTGAAGCCAATTGCATGCCTAAAGTTTCATTTAATCCATTTTTTCCTCCTATGTTGAAAGAGCAATGTTCACGACTTGCAGGCTCACTTCCTCCTACCACAAAGTAAACTTTTAATTAGCATAATTATGTTGATCGTTTAATGTTTTGCCGTTTTCTGTCTTTTTAGTTGCTTTTGTCCTACAATGTTATATCCAAGAATTCCAATAACAGAATTACAGCAATATCTCAATTAAGATTTTTCTTTCAGTGCTTTAGTCATTATTTGATTATGAACAACAATACTGTTTAACAAAGTCACGCCTCATCAAACATCTCGTCCATTACTAAGTTAATGTTATAGTTATTTAGATTTTTGAAAGAAAACGTACATTGAGCCAACACTCTTTTGATCCTTCTCTCCGCCCATCACATACACTTGGCCCATCCTCATTGGCCCATAAGCCCACATGATCGTTTTTCTCACGGCAAAGGCAAACCAACTTTGTCGATTTAAAAAAATTTCATCTAAACACAAAATTTTCGTTGATCGTCCTTTATCAGGGAGTTCAGGACTAGGGTCTTGCATCGACCATCATGAACCAAGCAACAATACCAAAAAGTTAAAATTTTCTTCGCTTCCACATTAAAAACAACAAAGTTTTATACCAACACCTATGTTTTTTTTTTTTTCGAGTGACAATTAAGAAGTTCAGACCCATTAAACTTTAGTTTCTACAAAGACATGTGCAGTGTCATATACTCACATTAGTTACCTGTTAAACTCCTACACAATGTTTGCATGTTGACAAAATTAAATTCTCAAGGACATCAGATTAACAGTACGATTATATATACTCGCCAATACCGGTCCTATTAAGTTAGGAAAATCTAAGTAATTAATTTCAAATAATAGTATAGATCTCGTAATCTTTATAAACGTATGATTGTGTATTTTGGAGTTTGTTAGGGTGACATGATCAAGATGAGAGGATACGTGATGTTGCGCCGAATTTAAATTATACACAAAATAACAATGATAATAAGAATAAAATCAAGAAGAGAACAAAAGAATAATAAGACATAACTATCAATTATATAAATGAAAGCTGAAAATGCCGATTTGATTGGTTGGTTAAGGTTTGATATGATGAACCATCTGTAAATTGCCAGCCTGACTGTTGCTGTATTGATTTTGCATGTCAACTTGTTTATGTTTACATCATATATAAACTCTCTTGTCCTTTTTCCGATCCTCTTTTTTTTTTTTTTTTTTTTCAGTTTATTAAACAGAAATATAATTATTTTAACATTTTTATTAAAAAAGATATAGTGTTATATTTTAACTATTATTTTCAGCTTAATCATTTATTTCTTTGAAAAGTAACTATTGTCAAATATAAAATTTTCATAAGAAAATATGAGTTTGATTTAGATATCAAAATTTTAAAAGAATGAATGTAATTTTCAAATTTCATAATGTTTAGAATACTCTATCAAATAATTCCAAAAATACAGTCGGTGTGTTTCGGATGCAATTAATAAGCATGACAAAAGGTATATCAAATTCAAAACTATTATTCTTATAGAAAAAGAGATAAAACCAAACATGGCAAAAGATGAAAGGAGAAGTCAAAGCATGGTATAGCATTACCATGCCCACTTCATCTTCAAGTCGTTTATACACGTTAACGTGTGTGTGTGTGTGTGTTTATAAAATAAATGTTTACTCTTATAATTAAGTTTAGTTAATCAAGCAAATCCTGAATTTAATTGTATCAAATCAAACATAACAACTGCATTCTAATTCAATGAAAGGGGAAATAGAATTGCCCACATGCATATGTCTCAAACGGTCTTAAACCTGAAAGAAATTGTGTGTTAGTCTGACATGTGCTGTTGCAACATTAATTCAATGTTTTCTTTTTGTCATTATGATCCTATAATAAGAAAATTTCTGAAATTTGATTTGATTCTGAACGCGAATGGTGATTATGATAATCGGAAATTCTTAAAAGGAGCCAACGTCAGTCACATGAATATTTTTTTATATATGTTTTTTTAACATGTTAAATAGATTAAGACATTTATTTACGAACATTCTTCAGTAAACAAGACAAAAAAAATCCATGATGGTGGATTCTTTTCTAACGAATAACAATCAGAGCAGAGGTAAGAAGAGCCAGCTTGTGTACAACTCATTTTGCAAAGTACCCAAATGACCCCTCCCACTGTCCCACACTACCTCTATATATACACACTGTCTGACACACAAACTAATTAGTCAGTAATCAAAAGTATCAAACACAAACGAAAATGGCGTCTTTGAAGAAGTACAAAATGAAGATTATGTGGGAAACAGCAGTTGTGTTTTGTCTTTGTTCATTGTCTTTGGTTTCTTCACACAGCAGGAAATTCACAACACCAAACGTGACACGCCTCACAGATCAATTCACTAAGATCACCATTGAAAATGGCTTCGTCAGACGTTTCGGAGCTCATAATATTCAGGTCAATGGCTCCCTCGCAAAGCTCACTCTCGACAAATCCTCTGGTAATATAACTCTACACTGTTCTGTTCTGTTTTTATTTCCTCTGTTTTCTGATGATATGTATATTTTTGATAAACTCCTAACTAGTTATATATGAAAACACAGTTAAGTTACTTTCACATATACTCTTTAATACATATAGACAAATAAATGGTCGATTCGCATTCTCCAAAAGGTTAACATTTTGAAAAGTATGATTTCATACTTCATAACCTTTTATTGTTAAAGGAGATATCAAACTTACATTTCTTTTTGATGATTTCTTCCTGTATATTATCCACAAAACTATATATATATATATATATATATATATATATATATATATGTATGTGAATACTTATATATATAATATCGACATATTTGCAGGAGCTGGGTTGGTGTCAAAGAACAAGTATCACTATGGTTTCTTCAGTGCAAGACTCAAGCTTCCCGCTGGATTTGCCTCTGGTGTTGTGGTTGCTTTCTATGTACGTATAATATGATTTATAGTCTCTTGAATCCAAAACTCAATTATAATCTCTAGACATGTAGCTTAGTAATGTATATATAGGTACAAATGAAAAGAGTTGATCATCAAATATAGTTCTTTTAAAGAAATACTAATGTATATTTTCGATATGCAGTTATCAAACGCAGAGAGTTATCCAAAAAACCACGACGAGATAGACATAGAATTGTTGGGTAGAAGTAGGAGAGATGATTGGACGATCCAAACGAATGTGTATGCAAATGGAAGCACGAGAACTGGAAGAGAAGAGAAGTTTTACTTTTGGTTTGATCCAACGCAAGCCTTTCACGACTATACCCTCATTTGGAATTCCCACCATACCGTGTAAGTCACCACACTCATGACTATGATCATCTTCTTCTTATTTTTCTTAAGAATTAGTATCATTTATTATCCATTCAAAATCAAGAAAAGGAAAAGTTATGGGCCAAGAAAAGTCAAAACAAACAAAAACATTATATATAACATATATTTTCTGAATTGACATATAACAATACATTAATCATCACAATGACCATTTTTTTTGGTAAGCATCACAATGACCATTTGTCATCTACTAAAGTTACAAATTAATAAAGTCCACCTAATGCATGTTGACAAACAAAAACAAACACACAAGTAGATATTTAGGGATTGGTTTTAAATACTTACCAATATTTAGGTAAACAGATAGAAACTCAATATTTCTTTCAAATATACAAACTGTGGTCATTATTCAGGATTTCATATTGTTCTGTCAATTAATTAACCCGGTGAAACGATTTACAGATTTTTGGTAGACAACATTCCGGTTAGGCAGTTTCCGAACCGGGGAGCCTTCACAAGCGCGTACCCGTCTAAACCGATGTCTCTATACGTCACCGTTTGGGACGGTTCAGAGTGGGCCACTAAAGGTGGTAAGTACCCCGTCAACTACAAGTACGCCCCATTCGTGGCTTCCGTTGCTGACGTGGAGTTAAGTGGCTGCTCCGTTTACAACGGCTCCTCTATCGGGTCCGGGCCATGTACCAAGTCGGGCGGGTCGATTTCGAGCCTGGACCCTGTTGATGGTCAGGATTTTGCCACGTTGTCGAAAAATCAGATCAATGCCATGGATTGGGCTCGGAGAAAGCTAATGTTCTATTCTTATTGTAGTGATAAGTCGAGATACAAAGTCATGCCTGCTGAGTGCAACTGATTTTTAATTTATATGTTAAAAGTTAAAACACACAACATTGTTACTTTATAATTTTACTTAGGATACTAGCGGTTTAAAGTAATGTTTCAAATTTTCTTCTTCTTATATTGCTCTTCAGTTGTTCTAATATTTTCTTACACCAGTGTTATATAAATAATAAAGTTGTCTCTTCGTCAGATTTAAGCCCCTTAATTAAAGGGTATACATTATATGTTGATAAAAGAGTTGTGAATATCAGATCTTAGAGGAATTGATAAACTCAAGTATTTGGAAGTTTTTCTTGTTTACGAAATGATTATAACACTTGTCCAAGTTTGAGTATAATTTTGTTTTGGAACATTTTTCTTGTTAGTAGTTAACAAGTATTTGGAACATTTTTCTTGTTAGTAGTTAACAAGTAACAACATCGGGTTTCAATTATTTTTTGTTTTGTTAAAAGGGCCTGCAATTAGATTTGAGAAAATAAAAACTTATAGACCCAGCCCGAAAAGTGTTTTCTGGGAAAGACCCAATACATGAACAGATTAAATAATAAAAGCCCAATAGAATTAAACGCAAATACGTAATAACCCAATGTGAATTGTGAACCATCCGATAGTTTGAGATCAGACCATGGGATTTCAATTATGCTATTTCACATTTTAAGCAGAGGGAGGGAGGCACGTATATTTTTACTCTTAACCATTTATTTGTATCCACAAGAAGATTGCTTATATTGCTAATGTACCGCTAATTCGATATAGGTGCCTCATCACTCTCGAACAAAAAAACCAAGAAAAAAGAGAAATAATGATTCACTCTATTTCACCCGTCAGAAACGACAGAATCTACTAGACTCATTGTTCTTTTAAGCATTTTTGACAGAAACGTCAAGTAAGAGAAATAATGTGAAGACCTATCTAACTTGGTTTTCCCTTTTGAACTTATTCATAAATGATACGAAAGTTAAGAAACTTATTTACTAAAACATTTTTGCACTTATATACTAGATTTCTACTTTTGTAGTCAATAATCTTTTTTGTTTTCATAGAATCATTTAGTTGACTAGTAGTTATTTTTTTTTTTTATTACACCATTAAATAATAAAAACTACTAGACTCTCACGCTCTATTCAATGCAAAGGTTTAATTTGGTTTTGCCATTGGCCTCTCTTTTGGTTTCCTCAAGTAGGATTCTTTCTTCTCAAAGTCGTAACGTAAACTTACAAAACTCTTTCTTTTTCCATAAAACGTTCCTTACATTTATTCTCTGTCAACACTCTTTTTTTTTGGTTTTTACCCTTAGCATCACCACCTTCTTCTTTCACTTTCAGTACTTCCAAATATTCTACTATTTTGATTTTCACCTCTCTTTTGTGGGTTTGTTGAAGATCCACACTTAAAGTTTCCACCATTTTTATTTTTTTCTGAGCTTCCCACCTATATAACTTATTTTCTTGAGTTTTTGGGTTTCACCGGAAAGAAGAAGGATAGAAAAAATGGTAGGTGATGGCGGAGGAAATCCAGAGCCACCGCAGAAGCAGGAAGATCTTCAGCCTCATCCGGTAAAGGATCAACTTTACTCTATCACTTATTGCCTCACAAGTCCTCCTCCTTGGCGTAAGTTCCTCTCACAGTTTTCACTAATCATGATCTAAATTTGTGAAAAAGTCTAAAGATTTCTAAAATTGACCTTATGTTTGTTCGGATCAGCTGAGACAATACTTCTGGGGTTTCAACACTACTTGGTGATGCTTGGAACTACTGTTCTCATTCCAACTATGTTAGTTTCAAAGATTGATGCAAGAAACGTAAGTCTTTTGCAGAAAATTGTTACGGAAACATAAAGACTCTCTGGTATATAAAAATTGTTGTCTTCTGTCTCAAATGCAGGAAGATAAGGTAAAGTTGATTCAGACATTGCTCTTTGTGTCTGGAATCAACACGTTATTACAAAGCTTCCTTGGGACTCGTCTTCCTGCTGTCATTGGAGCTTCTTACACCTATGTGCCAACCACAATGTCAATCGTTTTAGCTGCTCGTTACAATGACATTATGGATCCTCAAGAGGTTGGTGAAGGAAATCAAGTTACACATTTTCTCTGTCTTGTGTAAGTTTGGTTACTAATTGAACTAAGTGTACTTTTTTTCTTGATGAGAAAATATAGAAATTTGAACAGATCATGCGTGGAATCCAAGGTGCTCTTATTATTGCCTCACTACTTCAGATCCTTGTAGGTTTCAGCGGCCTTTGGCGCAATGTAGCTAGGTTAGAAATCGATACAAATAAAGAGTTTCCTTCTGTTTCTTGATGATGGTGTTTTCAGGTCTGCATTGTTAGTTTTTATTTCTCTTGTGTAGGTTTTTGAGTCCCTTATCTGCGGTTCCTCTTGTGGCATTTTCTGGCTTTGGACTCTATGAACAAGGATTCCCTATGGTATGCACACATAATCGATCTCTAGAGTCCGCATTCTCGGATAGTTTTTACTTTCAGCTCGTGAGTTTGTGTTCTGCATATTACAGCTAGCAAAATGCATTGAGATTGGACTGCCTGAGATCATACTTCTTGTCATATTCTCACAGGTTAATACTCTTGCCATAACCTGAAAAAAACACACACACATTTATGTGTTGTTACCAAACCATTTTGTTGTTGTGTGCAGTACATTCCTCATCTGATGCAAGGAGAAACATATTCTAACTTCTTCCACCGGTTTGCTGTGATAATCTCAGTGGTGATTGTATGGCTTTATGCATACATTCTCACCATTGGTGGGGCCTATAGTGACACAGGAATCAATACTCAAATCAGTTGCAGAACTGATCGCGCTGGTATCATTAGCGCCGCTCCATGGTATATAGATCATAAACTTGTATCCTTTAGTTACCTAGACCGGTTTTTAAATGCTAAGGTTGTTGATGCAGGATTAGAGTGCCTTACCCTCTTCAATGGGGAGGACCTCCAACTTTTAATGCAGGGGAAATTTTTGCTATGATTGCTGCTTCTTTCGTTTCTCTCGTTGAGGTCTAAATCTATCCTCGCCTTTTTTACTACAACCTGAGACAGATGTGCATCTGTTTGAGTCTTCTTGTGTGATCAATGGAACAGTCTACAGGGACATACATTGCTGTATCGAGATATGCAAGTGCAACGCCAATCCCACCTTCTGTGCTTGGCCGTGGAATCGGTTGGCAGGTAAAAACACACGCACCAAAAAGACATTGCATCATCCAAACTTTCTCAATGGTAATGAGGTTCTCTGTTTTGAAGGGATTTGGAATTCTTCTCTGTGGATTATTTGGAGCAGGAAATGCAACATCTGTGTCTGTGTAAATACAGTTTCATCTCTAATCTACAAAACAAAAGCAGAAAAAGTTTTTCTTATTCGAAAACAACAATCTTTGTCAGATGTTGAAACCGTTTCTTGATGATCCTTTGTAGGGAGAATGCCGGTTTGTTGGCTGTAACGCGCGTTGGTAGTAGAAGAGTAATTCAAGTATCAGCCGGATTCATGATCTTCTTCTCCATTCTTGGTATTTCTCTTAGCTACTACTGAACTTACAACTCTGAAGCTTTTACATACATAAAGACAATTGATTCACAATCATTTTCAGGTAAATTTGGGGCCATATTTGCTTCGATTCCAGCTCCTATCATCGCAGCTCTTTACTGTTTGTTCTTCTCATACGTTGGTACAGTTCTTGAAACTACTGAAACAGACTTGTTCGGTTTTTGTTTTTGGAACCACAAAGAACACATGTCGTTGCTCAAAACTGAAATAAATTGCAGGTGCGGGTGGTCTAAGTCTAATCCAGTTCTGCAATCTGAACAGTTTCAGAACTAAGTTCATTCTTGGATTCTCCATCTTCATGGGCTTATCAATACCTCAATACTTCTACCAGTACACAACTTTTGAAAATTATGGACCCGTTCGAACATCCGCAACATCTGTAAAACACTAAAACCGCATCTTTTCAACATCGAAATCATCAGGATAAACTAATGCTCAAATTGTTCTTTTTTTCTTTGCAGTTCAACAACATTATAAACGTTCCTTTCTCATCTAAAGCATTTGTTTCCGGGATTTTGGCCTTCTTTCTAGATATGACATTGCCTCCAAAGGACAAGGCGACAAAGAAAGATCGAGGACTAGTATGGTGGAAGCGATTTAAATCGTTCAAATCTGATAACAGAAGCGAAGAGTTCTACTCTTTGCCTCTCAATCTCAGCAAGTACTTTCCTTCTCACTGATGAAATGACAATATATATACTTCAAGAAACAGAGTTTTATCAACTCAGTATCCTGTTTCCCGCGCTTGTTTGATCTCACATCTCTACTTGTGTCCTAAAATAATATGCCATGAGTTTGCTTCAAAACGTTAAGAACAGTACTAAGTGCTCCATCGGATTCACTCTCGTCCGGTAGCAACTTGGAATCTTCCTTAAACTGTTTGCAGCTTGAAGCAAAGAATTCTCCATATTTCTTTTGCCAAACAATCTTCGATTCATCGACAAAAAGAACAGCTTCTTCGTTTCCCATCACATCAAGACTCTTCTTATGTCTCACCGTACCATCATCACGAGAAATAATCCGATCGCTGAAATACTTTCCTTTAGGATCTAACAACTTTAGCCATCTCTCTAGCATAACGTCTATCACCCTTTGTGTATATTATATACATCTCAAACACATCGTTTGCTTCTTTTAGAAACGTTCGAACAAAAGGTCTCAGTTTAGTCATCAATCCCATAGATTTGACCGAGAAGAGAAGAAGATTGTTTCTGTCTAGGGTTAGGGTTTTCAAACAGTCTTCATCTGTTGTCATGTCATTGATTCCGGTTGAGTTAAGCAACGTGTGGTATAAATCGAGAACTAGGTATAGCTTTTTGTGGCTTTCCATGATTCTCATATGGGATTTACAAATATGGCCTTTAACCTGTGTGTATATATCGGAGCGAAACACCAGTTTCTTCTAGTTTCTTGCCACACACGAAACACATATTACCGAAGGACCTGGGTGCTTGTAATCTTGTAAATTCGGTCAAGGGTTTCATGCTACTCTTCTTCCAAAGTTGATGTGGGATTGTGATTTTACTTCTTAAGTGCAAGGAGCTAGTATTTATAAAAAATAAGTCTCAGGTGTCCTTTTCTTCCCAAGTCGATGTGGGACTTGCGACTTCCATTTTAATCAATTATTGGGCTTTTGTTGGATTTGGGCCTAATTCTGTTCTCCAATTGCTTTGAGATCCAGTAACATTAATTAACAAAAATGTTATATATTAATAATACTCGTTTCAAAATATAAAACATTTTGAGTCGTTTCAAAATATAATACTTGTTTAAAAATATAAGTCGTTTTCAAGTTTCTATACAAATTATATACTCCCTTCGTTTCAAAATATAAAGCGTTTTGGAAAAACTTTTTTGTTTCAAAATATAAGTCGTTTTCAAGTTTCTATGCAAATTATATATTACTTTAATATTATAATTATTTTTATTATGCAGTCTCTTTTATGATTAGCTAAACTTTTAAAAAGTAGATATTCTTAATCGGCGTGCTTTTAGCTAAAACGCCTTATCTTTTAAAATGGAGTGAGTATTACTTTAATATTTTATGATTATTTTTATTATAGAGTCTCTTTTATGATTGGCTGAACTTTTAAAAAATATATTTTTTTTAATCGGCGTGTTTTCAGCTAAAACGCCTTATATTTTAAAATGGAGGGAATATAATTTTTGAGTGAAATCTTCCCTCGCAAAATTTTGCATCAAAGTTTTTTTTGAAGCAAGAAACATCATAGCTAGTGGACATGCAGTCGAAGCCTCGAAGGTAACTTTAGTGAGCGTCGTTTTGCCTATGCTTCAAATTTTAAAATGATCATCTATGTTGTTTATAATTATAATTTATAAATTTCGATAATGATGTGCTTTTACTTTTACAACGAGACTAATTTTAATTTTGACGAAAGTACACACACACTCGCTTTTTAATAGATTCATGTTCATGCATGTGATCAAAAGTTCAGTAGTAACTAATAATTGGGATCCGAAATTTGTCAGATATATTCATTGATTAACTATTAATGGTTACTTTAGTTACTAGGTTTTGTTTGTGTTTAACAAAATGGTATTATTTAAACTTACGATGTTAATTGTTTACCATTATCAAAACACTTGCGATCGATATTGGCCCTAAGAGGGAGCGAAAGGACATAACTCACAATCTTAAATCTTGATTTGTTACGTGGTGGTTGCCGCATGACGTGTTTCGGTCTCTATAGTATTTTTTTTTTTTTTTTTTGAATAACCGCGGGTTTCTCAAAGGCTTCCTAGACCCAATGACTAATCCCACGAGACTGGCAATTCCCCTATGTAAACCTGCCAGTAACCGTAGCTTGAACCCTGGTGGCGGAAGTCACAGCTGTGACCCCTTTACCACTAGGCCACAAGGCCCGGTTAGTCTCTATAGTATTAACACAACATTATAATTAAAAACCACGAAATTGTAACATAATGACTAAAAAATCTACGAAATAATAAAATTGTCCGTTGTTTACATCAACATGAAAAGTAAAACTAGTCGCTGCGAGTAAACCAAAGAAAGAATTGAAGTTTCTCTCTATTATTTTGTTTTCTAGACCAAAATCCTTTTAAAACAAAGTTGGAATCTTGATTCATGGAATGTAATTATGTAAGTTATGTAACCTCTTTGGAAGATAACAAGAACCAGCAAAACTAATTACACTTGGTTAATCTAACCACATCTATTACATTATAATTTCTTGAACTTCACTTCTCTCACGCCTAAAAGACTTTAGCATTTCACTCTATGCATGCGCTGTTTTCAATGATTAAAGTGCTGCCATTGAAATATTCCTTCAAAGGAAATTAAACATTTGATGCCATGGTATATAAAAAGAGAAGAAAATAACAAGAGAAATATGCGACAATATAAGAAAAAAATAAAAACAGATCTATGTTTTCTCTTTTCTAATTATGAATGAAGTAGATTATACATCAATTTAGGGAGATGATATATAAAACAATGAATCCTTAGTGGAAATGCATCGGATCTTGCAAAAGAGAAAACAAAAGTCTTCATTACGTTTCACGTATAAACGTTCTGTTTTGCCCGTTGACGAAAACAATCTCTTGTTTTTCCTTATTACTAGAGTATTATTATACCCAAAAAACTAATGATTTCAAACCTTAAATTTTGAAGACATTACAACATTATTTTATTTTTTTTGTCATCCGAAATTAAATTAGAGCTAAAAAAACTATTCCTAGAAAATATTGTTTACATATTGTGATATTACAAAATCATTCTAAACTATAAAAAACTATTTTAATATGGTAAAATAAGAAGCGTGGGACAAATTGTGATTGTTACATTTAGATCGATTCAATAGTATAATTTAACTTAATTCAATATAGAGGATTTACTCTTTCAAACAATCACAAACCATACTATAGAGTATACTCCCTCCGTTTCACAAAGAGTGTCGTTTTAAGGTTTTATTTTTGTTTCACAAAGAGTGTCGTTTTGTATTTTTAATGTAAAATTTTGAATAAAAATCTAATTTTAACCTTATTTTTTTTAATGTATTAATAAGAAATATAATTTTGTTTAGTATATTAATAAGGGGTATAATAAAAATTTTGATAGTTTTTTTAATATATGAAAAAGTATAAAATGATACTATTTGTGAATAAGAAATAGTAGCAGATATAATAGACATCTTAATCATTCCTTCAATTGTCTAGGCGTCACCACCTGTCCAATCTAACTGACTTTTAAATTCCGACCATGTTATTCCTATTCAATTCCCAATGGCACTAACAGTCAAATCTAGATTAACTATAATAATAATACTCATAAAAAACTCTTCTCGTAACAAATAAAATCACAATATAAAATTGGGGTTATCACATGTTTATAAGTAAAGCTAAAGTGAGAGAGTAGCAGAGTGTGTGGACCTACCGACTCGCCGGAAAACTTTTTCCTCTCTTCTTCTTTCCCCTTTTTCACAGAGTCTCTCCTTTCTACTCTGTTTTCCTTTTTCTTCTTTCTTTTTTTTCTTAATTATCATCAAAAAACTCTCCCTCTGAATATGGGGAATTGTCAGGCGGTGAACGCGGCGGTGCTGGTTCTACAACACCCCGGCGGGAAAATCGACCGGTACTATGGCTCTGTCTCCGTCAGCGAGGTCATGGCTATGTATCCTGGTCACTACGTCTCTCTCATCATTCCTTTAACAGAGGAGGAAGAGAGGAATATTCCGGCGACGGTGAAGGGAGATGATAAGAAACAGAGGAAGGCTGTGAGGTTTACACGTGTTCAGCTTCTCCGGCCAACGGAGAATCTCGTGCTGGGTCACGCTTACCGGCTCATTACTTCACAAGGTTTCGCCTTTTGCTTCTTTCTTTTGTTTTCTCCGCGTGTGTGATTGGAGTTTATGACTATATGGTTATATTGAAATGTTAGCAGAAGTGATGAAGGTTTTACGGGAAAAGAAGAGCGCCACGACGAAAAAGCATCAGATTGAGACGACGACCACGTTGAACAAGTTGTCGGAGAAGAAAGTCCCGGTAGGATTTAAAGACATGGGATTTTGCTAAAAGATCTATCTATCTTTACTCTGTTTTTGAATTGTAACACAGATAACTGTCACCTCTTTCGTCTAAATAATGGAGATTTAGACAAACAAAGTTAATGGGGGTTTGTGTTTTATTTGATAGGAGAAGAAACAAGGGAAGCAATTTCGTGTGATAACGAATTCAACTTCCCTTTTAAAGTCTAAAACATGGAGGCCATCTCTTCAGAGCATCTCCGAAGCTACGAGCTGAATGTTGTTGGTTTTTGTTCGAGGGACGAGAAACAGTATCTGGATCTAGAGTTGAGAACCTGATCTGAAACTGTACTGAATAAACTTTGGTTCTGTTCCCTTTTTTTGTTTGCCTGGTTATTACAGAGGATGAAGTGTAGATCAAGATGTGAAGAGATAAGTACAGAGAAAACTCAAGAGAGTCATCAGAACAGAGCTTCTTCTTCCTTTTTTTTCTCTCTATCGTCGATGTATATATTTTCGCAGATGGAGAAATCGATGGAAGTTTGTAAGAAGTGTGGTTTTGTTGATGTGAGATTGATTCAGAGGAAACAGAGCTTCTGAATATGAACAAGAAAGAGCTTTTATTATCTTTCTTTTTCTAGTTTCCAGTCGTTTGGACAAATTTACACCAAAAGGTTTTGGATCTATTAAGTGCTTCACAACATAGTAATCTTGAATCAATAAAACCTAACAGATATGACATACTACTTCCGGTTCTTCTACTGATACATTGGAAGATTCTATTCAACCATACATGAATCACCGAGTAAAACAGTTGATGTGACAAAGGATTATAAGAACAGAGCTTCTAAAATACCAAAATCTGCAAAATTCAGAGTTTGACAATGACACTTGTATCATCTGCTACACCACTACTGAACTAAATAACTCACGGATTATAATTATGCTTCAAGGACTAATCAGTGCCAGTCCATTCCTTCCAGTCCTTGTCTACATGATCCTGAGCCCATTTAATAGCTGCTCGTGCGGCCTGTGGACCTCCAGGCAATTCCCTTTCTTTGAGAGTATCTGCCATGTCAATGAAGGGTATGACCAAGAGTGTACCAGGTCCTCCATACTCACTGCGCAAGAACGTCCCGAAGATCTGCCAAGAATCACAATGGTCCAAAGCAAAAACCGTTAAACTCCCAAGTCTCATGCCAAGAAATATAACAGACTTAGAGAATGGTTTAAGGTATCACGCAGCCAAAACTTCCAAGCGATTTTTCGTAAACCAGATTTAGATTTATATCCCTCACCAAGGCTCTTTTTTTTGGGATCATTATTAAGACGACAATATGTTGGATTCGAGTTAATGCAAACCTCCCCTCTCATTTTCAAACCATACTAACTTTTTGTTGAACTTTCTACATGGGTTTAAACTCAAAACCGCTCATTGAGAAATTCTAAACCGAGTCACATGACCCTCTCCATTCTCGATCTATAAGACTATAACTCAACTAGTATAAGATCACTAAATCATTCCCCAATTTTCAGGAAAATGCTGCATAATCACAACCCTACAAACGAGGCATCGACATTACAAAGGACATTTTCTAAACAGGCACATTCATTTGACACTACAAAATGATTAGATATGATCTAAACAACTTGAGATAAGATGAATCAGGATTCTAGTTCAAAAAACATAAAAGAAGATTTGAAGCATTTCTAACCTCTATGTGCATTTGCAAGTCACATGCCAAGAAAAAATCAGAAGCTGAGACTAAACAATTCACCACAATTCAAGACATCTCACATAGACACGTACAGATATACAAGTGTGAAAGTAAGTAAGATTTGAGATTACCTCAGTGCAGATTCCGACAATTTCGTCAACAGAGTCTTCAAAAAGATCCCTCTTGGATAGTTTCTTTGACATATGGTCCCTAAACTTTTCAGTCTCCTGGTTATCAACCATCAATTAGGTTTCAATCATCCATCAAAAATCGAGTGAAAAAAAGGAAGGAAAAGAAGAGAAAATGAGCTTACAGCTTCGGCGAATTCAGGTATGGGATCCGGAAACTTGTACTCAGCAGCTCTGCAGACAAACCCTCTCCGAGACAGTGAAGAAAGAGAAAAGTCCCTCAATTTGGTTCTACAACGCTGTTTAAATAATTGGGTCGATTTGATTGCGCACGATACTGCAGCTGGGGAAGAGATAATTGGAAGAGCGCAACAGAATGACGAAGAAGAAGAAGATGAAAATGAATTGGCTTGAAGAAGCCGAGAAGAGAAAAGAGCTTCGTGCATTGCAGAAGAAGCCATTACTACTGTTTGCTTTTTTCACTCTTCAACCTTATCTTTTTCTCTGCAACTGAGGGTTTTAGCGAGGTTTCAATTTTGAGGGCTAAAATATAAGAAGTTAAAAGATTTGAGGGTGAAAATGTAATATAAGAGAGATTTGAGGGTGGAAAAAAAAAGGAACCTGTCAGACCGCCGTGCGACCACCCCGGCAAGGAAGACCGAGCCGAGTAACGATCCTCTACAGCATCGGATGCGTCCGAAGACGATCGTAGCCGTTAATCACGCTCTGATCGCACGGTCATGGTTCATCAACCAGGGTTAAGGGCCTGTCTCCTTAGAAATCAAGGAAACAGAGGTACGAGCCTATAGAACAGATCCTGTTCAAGTAAGGTCGTGACCATCTATCTTCTGTGTCCATATATAAACAAGTTGTTTTTCCGCTGGGTCTTCGATGTGGGACTTTGATACTCTTATTTCCACACCTTCAACCAAGTATCTTATGACACGTGTACTTAATTATCATTTATATATTATTAAAATCTGAGATGCCATAGGCTTTGTGAGTAACCAACCTTTGGATATGCAATGGTTTCTAATCCAGTACATTGCACTACATCATAACATCTAATTCAGTTGTCTAGGGAGATATATGCAACTACAAAAATAACCGATTAGTTACAGAACCTATTCAAAACGAGCAAACAAAAAAAGATTTGTTCCTTTCTCCTTTGGTGATGCCTTAGAGATTCCTCTCTTGTGGCTCGAGCCAAGGAAATCCTAAGAAATCAAAAACTTGTTTCTCCGTTGAGAGTTTCAGACTTGCAGTTCCTCTAGCACCCTGGAAGTGAGAAACAAACATTATCACAGCTTCAACATAATCATTCTTTCACTTTACAACCAAAAATTCACATCAAGTTAATTCACTTTTCTCCCTTACTTACCCGGTTACCACTAGAACTGTGAGTAGCTGGGAATAGTCCAGTGTCGTCAAGTCGATATCCTTTGGATTCTGCTAGCAATCTCAGCCTGCAGTTTTCATCGCATATTATTATATGTGTTCTCTCTTAGCCAACAATGTATTTGGTGGCATGTATATAGATTATATCATATACATACCTTCTGTTCAACACGTCGTTCCCTGTCCAGGCTATGAGTCCAAATGCATAGATATCCCTTGGATAGACCTATGAAAAATACTATCTATTGAATGATTTGCTGGGAAGAGATCAACCTAGACATAGCTCAATCAATCATGGTGGTGCTGTCCTTTTTATCTTTGATTAACCCAACTTAGTGCTTTTTTGCATTAAGTGTGACATGGGGAGTTTTCAGGTGTTACCTTAAAATCGATACGGCGCCGTAGCTCCTGACCAGGATAAGTGCACAGGCCAAAATACGTGTCAACGCCTGAATCAGTACCCTGCACAATAAGGGCAATCATTGAGGAGAACTGTGATTGAACAAAACATTTTTGTCACACATGCAACTCTGAGAGAACAAAGCTTTATCTAATAATGCTAAAAGAGTTCATTTTATAAGATATTGAAACAATTGAGGCAATGTGTTTTTGATGAAGATAAGATTCTCAAACAATTTTATAAGATCATCTTACCTCTTCACTGTGGGTGCTGAAGATGAGATCCTCTCTTAAAAAGTTTATTTCTTTTAAACGCTTTACAAACTTTGTCAAAAATCCCTTGTGACTGGTCAGGGCAATAAGAAACGACAGTTTAAGTTAACTTTGCTACTGGAAACTAACGCAGGAAGATGAGGGAAGAAGATTGTAGGTACCTTTGTCCATCAGGATGTGTTATAACGATATCCAGATCTCCACAAGTAGCTTTCCCACGTCTATATGATCCTCCACATACAATATTCACCTGCAGTAAAGATGTTGGTTAGAATTTCATCACCCAAATATGGAGCAAACCGATAAACTGAAAAGTTCATACACCAGGCAAAGTTTCTTCGCCGACTCTCTGTAGAAGTTGTTCCATCTCTTGCACCTACAATACAGAAAGTGAGGAAATATGAGGAGAAAACTACATGAAGGATAATAAAGACAAACAGAATTCACTTTGAAGTATAAGAATCACACCTCGTGACGTAGAATTCTTGTTCTGATATCATCAAAATATTTCAACCCCAACCTCTGTGCATGCGTTAGTGAATCCTCATTCTTCAAGTCTTCTAGTGTGCGATGTCCTTTATCATATAGCTTGAGTGCAGTTGCAGGACCGATACCCCAAACTTCCCCGAACAAACTGATTGTACGAACCTTCAATCATAGTAATGAAACATTTAAAGTAGTAAACAAAAGATATCAGACATCTCTAGCTCCAGGTCATTGACATTTTCTTAAAAGAAAAAAACTCAAAAAGGAACAAGAGAAAAAGCAAATGGCCTCTACATGTGAGCTTTTATTTAACTGAAAATGGGAGATAGCAAAATAACTATAACCAAGGACTACAAAATTACCTTCTCATCTGTTTCAAAATGTTCAAGCTTGGACAACTTCCCTGTTGTCACAATCTCTTGAATCTGCCAAACTCAGGTAGAAGAATAAAACTTTGTTTTCACAGAAATACACCATAATAAAGGTTATAGGTAGGTACTAGGAAAAGGGTAAGTGTTTGCAGTTTTGACACCCACAAACACAAACATACACAAAATATTTGAAGCATTTCTTCACTCACATGATCTCTCATTGACTTTCCAATTCCAGGGAGGTGTTTGAGCTGATCAATGCTTTCAATCTTAGTGGGGAACTTTTCAATGACAGGGATAGCTTTGTAATAGCTAAAGGACCGTCTATCTTCACCCAAAGCTTTTGAAAGACAAGAAAGAGGTTTGTTACTTACTTACTATAAGAGAGTAGTTTAGAAAACAAACACAAGAGATCGTACCTCTATATATGTTTATTAGCTTTCCAAATATCTCAGTGATATTTCTGTTCAAATCGGGTGGTTTGTACACCGATGTGGACTATAAATCAAAAGAACCTCCAATATCAACAACCTTCTTTCTTAAAGTGCAGATATAGCAAACAGCTTCTTCTGTAGTTAACTTCTAAGAAACCAAAAAGATGCATCAGCAGATGAGTCACTTAGGTTTACCTCTGATTGTGGACTAGTGGGAGTCTCTGCAATGCCATCTCCAGGACTGGCACTAGTAGAGGGAACACTGCAACTTGTTGGTGAATCCAGTGATCCTTGTGTATTGCTTTGACTTTCTACGCCTTTGAAGTCAGCAGCATCAGGAAGATATCTAGTTCGTTTATGAGGTGATGGTAGATCCTCACTACCACTTATTGCAGGCAAAGACTTGTTCGGCTCTTCAACTTCTTCTGAGTCAATATTGAGGGCATACAAGTCTTCATTTGCCTTTTCTCCTGCAGTTAGGCTATCTTCTAACCACTGGTAAAGCATAAGGCGCTGCAAGGAACAACCAATGTATAAAAACTCTCTTCCATCTTGCTCATAAATACAATTCAAGACCAATCAAAACAGACAATAACAAAGGCTATCGTAGACTAAATAAGATAAAACACAAATGTTGAAATTTTCATGTTAGACTATATCAGTTAAAGCCACTCCCAACAAGGAAAGATCAGAAATTGGTAAATACCAATGTTTAACAGAAGCATTGAACTTTTTGTCTTCCCAATTAATCTAATCGTAGAGACTAGAGACAACTCATGAACAAGACAACACACAATCAAATAGTTATAAAAGATTGTTTTTTTGATGATGAAATCCATGTTTTAGTAAAAATGCAGAAAGCTGAAGAAGAAGAAGAAAAACGAAAAGCCGACTCACTCCTCTAAAATGCGAGAGACGTTCTTTCCCAAATTTGTCGAGAAGAGCATCCAGATTCATGGCAAGAACATGAGTGACTTTCTTCGTTACCCGATCTTTTTCGATCACTGCACCCATTTGAACCAGTTTCTGCTTCCATATCTTCATTCAAAGAGAGAGAAAACATGCAACAATTAAAAAAAATGTTATCGATGATGATGTAAGTAATAACACTGAGCAATTTTTCAGTTCTTATTTCCGAGTAAAACCTGAAATCGACGACGCTGGACTCCGATTTCAACCATAAAAACTACCATTCCGGCGAACATCCCTTCCGGGTCCGGAGACGGAGACCGGTTTCTCCCTCGCTTTGCCGCCATTTTCTTGCACTTTACTCGTAACTCACTCGGATTTTGTCCACCAAATTTTGTGTCTTTCAAAGCAGGAGTATCCCAATTACGCTCGTTTCAACGAACCAAATCAGAGCCAAACCGGAAAACATGTTCTAAACCGGATTTAATTTTTCGACATATAAACTCTCTCATTCAAACGACTAAACTAACCGACTTAAAATGTCTCAACAAATTGTTGTTGCCTCTCATTTGTTAGTCAACACCATTTTTCATGATTGGACTTTATGAAACTTTTCATTGAATTAAAAATTGAATCGTACCGTAAACCCAAAAAGAAAGAACAATTTTTCTCTCGTTTGAACTTTGAAGGCAAATCACACGTCATAAAGAATGAGACAACAACTAAACGGTGCAAAATTACAGAGTGACGAAGTCTTCTTCACTTCAATGTCTCTCCTAGAAGAAAATTTCTACTTCCTTTTCAGTCATCTCAAGAACATGGTCTCTAGCATCCGTGAGCGCACTCTGGATAAAACAAAAACAAAATGCAAATTCTCAGCAACCATGAGGACACCTGGAAATACATGTTTTTCTTACCTGTCCAAACTTGGTGATGAAGTTGTTCCCGAGGTTTATCGATGTAACTGTCACATCTTCATTCGCCTTTAGAGCTTGAGCAATGGCGAATGCTCCATCATCCTGCAAATCAGGCAGAATGAGCGGCTTACAAGTCTTAAAAGAATACACACTATTGATAAACAACGTAGCTTTTTTTTTTTACCCGTATTTCATTGAATCCTAGATCCACAGATGTCAGAGCTTCATTTACTACTTTCAAGCTCCGAGCTAAGCAGGAAGCTCCCTGAAAATAACAATCATTCATTTACGAAAAAGCATATTTGGTAGAAATATCGTAAGTACATATATAAAACAAGCTGAATATTGATAAAATCTGTCTGCACAAACCTCATCTCTAAGTCCATTTGCCCGCAAGTCCAAAACCGAGATTGTGTTGTTATATCTCAACATGTCTGCAACATGTTCAGCACCCTTAGCAGCTATCTGCAGGACATAGGATCGAAAATCAAACAATGATAAAACGAAATAAGCAATTGTTAAAAAAAATTATTTTACGGATAAAGAGTTATGGACAGGCTTTACCTGGCACCAACCAAGTTTGAGCGTCTTTACATTTCCATGGAACTTGAGAATTTCAGATAATGCTTTAGCTCCGTCTGGTCCTATGGGATTATACCCAACCTCTAACTGAGGAAATAATGAGAGTGGCAGTGTCATTATCATCCATGTTATAAGTAAACAAGGAAACAAAGATGAGAAAGATATTTGGCACTGACCGTCGTAATAATTGCATTATCTTTCAGAGCTTGAGCTATAGCATTAACTCCCTCCGCGTGGATGTTATTTCCACCCTAGTTTACAAAAACGTGTTAGCAGAACAAATAGCTCGATTTGGACACAAGGTAAAACTTAGGGAGACTGGAGAAGATGGTCACTTCTCACCAGGTCAATGGTTGCAATCGAACGGTTTTGCTTCAGAGCATCTGCAATCTTTTCAGCTCCCTGAAACCATTGAAAATCGTTGAGATAGACAACAGAGCAAAAAGAGACGAGGTTTGCAACAGACACAATCCAGCTCCATTGTTATAAATTGGATGTATGTACATACCTCATCGCCAATATCATTCATGTACAGGTTCAGCCAAACCAAGCTCTTGCTTCTCTTGATGTATTCTGCCACATAGAAGGCACCCTTTGCGGAGATGGAGTTGTTTCCGAGATCTAGCAAAGCCAGTTTCCCTGCACACAAAAATGCATATCAGTATAACCTCTGAATCCTACAGTAGAGGTAAGGAAGAGTTAATATAGACGTCGGAGGAGTGTTCTATTGAAAAACCTTTGTGGGAAGATAGACCAGCCATCAAAGCACGCGTTCCTTCGTCTCCAATAGAGTTTCCATGCAAATGAAGTTCCTGCAGGTAGAAAGGACAAGAAAACAGATCAACTGTTGATGACATTTACTCATTGTTTGTCTTTGATGACATCAGAAATCACCCTCAATGCATCATATAAGATAACACATCTAACTATGAAATGTTTCCCTTAATGCAGAAATGGTATACGAGATACATAGAAAGAGACATGAGGAAAGTTTGTACCCGTAAAGACTTGTTACCCTCAAGCCCTTTAGCTAAAGCATTGGCACCCAAAGCACCACCGTAATTTCCACTGAAACAAATTATCCATAAATCAGTATGTCAGGGATATGAACTATACAGACAAAATATATAAATAAGGAAGCCCAAAAGAAACATCCATCTATAATCCTAAACTCACTTGAGATGTAAATTGCGTATTGTATTATTCTCAAGAAGAGCTCCAGCAAGACTTGTGAATCCCTACCTCCATTTCAAAAAAGAAAAGAACGGAAGAACACGCAACAGATTCAATTCATAAACCTGGGTGATTAATTCTAAAATATAACGGTACAACAAATGAACAGAAAGAACTTACAGAATAGTCAATCATGTTATTGTTCAGCTCAATAATCCTCAAGGTTGAATTTCTCTTCAACAACTCTGCAATTTCCTTTGCACCCTGCGCAAGAACATTGGAACTACTTAAAGCATGAAAACACTTTAAAGGATTGTGACTAACCTAGGAGCTTGAAAAGCATGTAAAATCAAAGCATCTGCTCAGACAAACCTCATCTCCTATATCAGTACTGTTCAGCTGAAGTATCTCGATGCTAGAATTTTCCATCAGTGTAGCGCATAAAGTCTGCCATTACAAGAAAAAATGAAGCGAAGTCATTCTCAGCAAGAAACGTACACATAGAGAATAAGCTCCAAGTGATTTTAGAGCTAAAGTTCTACTCTCTTGATCGAACTAAGGAATTTTCGACCATCTCCACTAACCTTAGCGCCTTCATCACCGATAGGGTTTCCAGAGAGATTAAGAACTTTCAACATAATATTTGATTGAAGAACACCGTCGAAGGCTTTAACTCCTGCAGCTGTAATTCCATTTGCAGAAAAACTGACTTCCTCTACTGTCTGAAACACAAACATGGGTATGGTTACCCAATCAACATAAGAATAACAGGACTCCAATGAGTTGGTAGATAGCAGATGTGAAAGCAAGAGAGAACTATAACCTGATTATACCCAAGGCTTTCAGCAAGAAAGAATAATCCTTCATCTCCAAAGTTGCATCCTGCAAAATAATATACACAGGTGAGCTATATTTGTGTATATTAAGACTAAAGGAAGATGGCACTACCGATCACATTTTATTCTAATGTGAATCAGCAATAAGTAATGTCATAACAGTAAAATCATTCAATGCACCTGACATGTCAACACTTCTGAAGGACCTGAGTTCTTTTGCAAATTCATTAAGCCTCTGCTTGGCCTCTCTATCAACCTTAGCAGCAAATCCCTGTAACAAATTTGTACCAGCCCCAATCGACCATTTCACTCCCTGTGTAGAAGATTTGTTTTCTCCAGCAGCAGTCTTTGGAGACTTAGGCGACATGAACTTCTCAACCACTTTCCACAAAACTGTCAGCTGAATACACAAATTAGTATAGACGATTTGAGAGAAAAGACGAAACTTTTATCATTAGTATCTCTCGTATTGACAGAGATCACCGAATTTACATACCAAGCAAACTAATTTCCTCTCAATCACTTACACATGAAAGAAGAAAACACAGAAATTCCAAGTTTAGAGAAGTGTAGCAATGCTCGTACCGAAAGTGACGACAGCAAATGAGCCTAAGGGCAAGAGTGAAGACGCAATCTGCTGCAATTTAGCATTAGGAAAACCACTAGCCGCTTGTGACTCCTTATAAACCCTACTACGCTTCGAGCCTCCATCTGAGTTATACGCCGCTTTGATCGCAGGAAGTCTCGGACTTCGGTGAAGAATTACCACCGGAGAAACCAACAATCGGTTCCTAGAAACGGAGCTACCCAACAATTCGTACCGGAACCCACTCCTCCATTGGCTCAGCCCAGAAGAAGCCTTCAAATTTCAATGAAACGACGGAATTAGAAGCCAAGAGAATTGACAAAAAGCCAACGGAATAACAGAAGAATTACCTTGGGGAGAGAGTGGAGATTGAGGGAGCTGGTGGAAGAAGACGCCATTAAAGAGCTGCTTAATTATGCATAGACGCGTGAAATTCTCGCTGTATGTAAACCAACCACTGGAGAATGAAGAAAGTGGAAGATACTAAAGCGACGAATTGGAGAAGAAGAGAAGAGAAGAGAAGAGAAGAGAAGAGGCGATGATGAAGATGAAGTTTGTTTCCTTCGCGCTATGTGTGTGTGTGTTCCTTTAGGTTCGGGTGTGACCCAACTATCCACCGGGTCGATATCGGGTTTAAATTTATGACCCGATAGATTCGAAAGAGAACGACTTTATTAGGGTTCATAACAAAAATATAATCAATCACCTACCTGAAAACAAAAAACATGTGGACTTAAAAATTGTTGTGCGAAAAGATTTGTTTTTTCTTGGTCTTCTTCTACTACACGCATTTGAGAGATTCCTCAGCTCGGCGATTCAATTCTCAGAAGATGATGGCTTTCGCTGGAATCACGACGACTTCAAATCCAACTTTTCTTGGGCTAAGGATCTCTAACACAAGTTTACCTTCTGTGGTTCCATGTAATTCGATTTCGTTTCCTTCTTTGTCATATGTGAATCTTAATCTCAATCTCAATCGGAGAAACCGCCTCTTTGTTCGATCCACTTCAGTTCCAGGTTCGAATTGATTCACGAATTTGCTCTGCTTTATTTTTCTGGGTTATTGTTATTGCCATTCTGGTTTTAAAATCAGAAACTTTCTTTTGAAATTGATAACTTTGGTTGCTCTTGAATTTCTCAGCTGCACCTGCAATGGAAGGACTGAAGCCGGCAATATCTCTGTCAGAAAATGCACTTAAGCATCTGAGTAAGATGAGATCAGAACGTGGGGAAGATTTGTGCTTGAGAATTGGTGTCAAACAAGGAGGATGCTCTGGGATGTCTTACACTATGGACTTTGAGAACAGAGCAAATGCAAGAGCAGATGATTCCACCATCGAATACGAAGGATTCACTATAGGTAACTATTCCATAACTATGCATGATCAATTCTTTCAGTCTGATATAAGTAGGCCTGAAAGTAAGATCAGCTAAGTTGCTTGACGATGTAGACTCGCCATACTTACAATATGAATGTCAGTTTCTCTGTTTTGAAGCATGCATCCAAAAATATAAAGCGCTGAGGTTGTTTGATATATATTGCATTCGTAAGATAAAGTTCTTGGCTAAAGTTTTAGACTCGTGTTGTCAAGTAGATGGTCAGTTGATTCTTTTAGATGTGCAGCTTGAATTATATAATACTTAGTTGCCGATTCTTGAACTGAGGCTTCTAGTCTCATGTTGTTTGCAATCAGGTCCTAGTTATACACTGAAAGCTCTGGTTTTTAATTTGTACTCATTTCTTTTGCAGTTTGTGATCCAAAGAGCATGCTCTTTCTTTTCGGAATGCAGCTTGATTACAGTGATGCTTTAATTGGTGGAGGCTTCTCTTTCTCCAACCCTAACGCTACACAAACCTGTGGATGTGGGAAGTCTTTTGCTGCCGAGATGTGAACCGGTTTCACATATTGCAGTAAATAAATAATATAGTTATAGTTAATAGAAAACTTTTTATTATGGTTGTAGAATGCCCAAACAGAATCTGCAAGTTTTTTTTTTTTCACTTGTGATGAACAAACCAAAATTTTAATAAATTATTCAACCTGGTTACAAAAATTCATAAAAAGACCAATGATCAAAATTTTCTGGTCACTGTTACAAAAAACAATTGTTGACATGAACTCCAACTCAGGCTCTTCTCTTCTTGTTGGATCTTGAGGAATGCTTATCATCGCCTCTCTTTTTGGTGGATTTATCAAAACCACTTATTGGCTTCTCTTTCTTGTTATCAGTTTTGGTGGACTCAATACTGATAAGACCACTTGAAGAGATCTTAGACTTTTGCAAAGCCTCAGCTTCTTTGTCCCCAATAGCAAATTGTTCAAGCAGCTCAGGGTCCAACAATTCTTCTATCCTTGCCCTCATTTGTTCCTTTAACCCAAACATTGAGAGCGTGAGTGATGTTTCGATTTTACATGGAAACCAAAACAAAATATACGCATGCACGGAAAGCAATTACCTCAACTTCTTTTGCTCCTTCCCTGAGATCTTCGTCTACTGATACTTTGTGAGGTTCAAGCACTCTCTGCAACCAAAAGCCACCATGAATCATTTCAGTCAGCTCGATATTTGTGTATGTATTTAGGGCTTAGGGTTGTTAATTATCATAAATGAGGGCATATTATGACTGAGCAAAAGAACATGGAAATGTTTTGTAAGTTTTCCCATCTGAACTTACATCTTTCAACCGAGGTAAGGTGGATTCAAGCTCGTTTGTTGCAATTGCATTCAAATATTTGTATAACTTCTTTCCAACCTTCAATAGAAGAGAGTGTATTTGCCCCCTCTCCAACTGCATTTGTCTCTGTAAGTCAACGTAATGATCCAATTTAGAACATCCAGATGTGTCAAGAAGTTATCTCCACATGTGTGGTGAAACATAATTCAGCGGGCCCAGATTATCAAATTCTTTTAAAGAGTAGATATGTTATACCTCAATGCTCGAGAAATCCGACTCCTGCAAGCCCAAACACAGGAGTACAGATGCTTGAACATATGAAAGCGAGACCGGGAGCTTCTCTTGAAAATAATGATGAGCTAGAGTTTTGCAAATGTCATAAACCTATGAAAAGATAACAAAATAAAAATAGTTACCAAACCAAACGAAAAGACAGTATCAAGCTTGAACCTGCGGTTAGTATTTGTCTGAGTCTGTTACCAGAATCTTATGATTGTTTAGTTATTTAAGCAGATTACATATCTGACTATATGCTTAAGCAGACTGAGTCATAAATGTAGTTCATACATATTTCCCTAAAATAAGTGACTCTCAGAAAGTGAATCTAACCAGGTTGAAGTCAACGAGATTGGCAGTGTATGCTCTGAGTCTCTCCATATCATAAGGTGAAAGGACTCCGTCGAGTTTCTTCAAAAATCCATCAGGTGAATTCCCCGAAGAATCAACCTCTGGGAAGTTGATCTTAGGGTTCAAGACACTAGACAAAATTGTGAAACGAGAATATTATCAACACGATAAAACCGCACCAAGAAAAGTATAATCATCCTAAAATAGTATTGAGAAAAAGTTCAAAGTTTCATGGGGAAAGAAAATGAATACTGCTAACCTCATTGCAAGTTTATAATCCATCTTCTTGAATTTATCACTCAACAGCTTAGAGAACCTTATCCTGAAATCTGAACAGAGTAGAAGAATTGGCCAAAACATTAAAATAAAAAAACGTCAAAGTTAGAAGCTAAAGAAACATTAGATTCCTGTTTAAAAAATCAACAAACCTTTATAGAAGGGAGCAAAGAAGCCCAGTTCATCTGACTCATCAACTTCGAATTCATCGTTGCTTAATGTTAATGGTTTCAGAAGCATACATGTGTGCTCACCAGTCACAGCACTCTGATCCAACCATATATGGAAATTGTGTTATGAACTACTAGACAATACAAGAATAAGTAATTCAGGAAAAGGGGGAAAGAGAGATTCTCAACTGGTATTTGACTGATGTAGAATGGAGCAAATTTATGTTTTCTCCAGAAACGGAAGAGGTCTAAAGTAAGCCCAAAAGAGACACCGAGGTAGTGGAGTCTCTCAGGTCGCCGATCACGAAGAGGAACCAGCAAAGGTGGAAGATTGGCACGAGGCTTTATCTGTTCCTCAAGCAAGGAAACCTAAGGGAAAAAAAAAATCAAGTAGGAGCTAGAATGCATAATGCAAAAAAAAACACAAGGATAGATTAAAATAATCAAGAACCTTTTCGGCAGCCTCAGTAACTCTGACTGGTGAAGGCTCCACATCCAGTTCATCATCACCTTCTGATATAGAAGCTAGCTGACCCTCAAAGTATCTGCACGTATCAGTCAATTATATATCTGCATGTATTAATCATTAAGTGGTAATCATGCATTTACCTGGTCAAAAGTTCAACCGCAGCAGACCCATATCCCATCTACATAGAATGTAATTAAGAATTTGTTAATCTCTCATGGAACCTAAAAGACTTTTAAAAAATGAGCAGACTAAGAGAATTTACCTTCATAGCATTGGGGTGGACTGCTATGCGTACTATACGAGCACCAGAAAGCTTTGGAAAGACAACGTCCCGGAACTGTTCACAGAACTTCCATGGTATTTGATCTCCATGTGGTGAATGACCTTCTCTTAAACTTTTTTCAGCTGATTTCCGAGATATCTGTCCTTCGAGACAGACCTGCAAAAATATCAATTTCAAGGGTACTTGAGACCAGTTACATCCACAATCAATCATATAAGAAAGCCAAGACATGTGATTCATAGTTTTACAACAACAAAAAAATGCTGCAAACAAACAATTATGGCAGACTGATAGCTTCTGCTTTTATTCTTTGTTAGTCCAACTAACTGTTTTTCACCAAACAAACAATTTCAAAGAGCAGAAAAAGTAAGAAATCGATACCTGGATAACACACAGTATATCAGGAAGCTGGTTTTTGGACTCATCAACAGGACCTGTGCCAAATAGAAATTTAGGCAATACTCTAAATCTGATGATTATCTCTAGCTATGAAAAGGAGGAACAATTGCATACCGAGCAACACAAACAAATGATGAGCAGGGGCATCCGACAGAAGTTGAAGATCATTAGGAGAATTCTTGTAGTGAGAAGAGACACAAAGTGCCATCATTCGCTGTAGAATGCCCACTTAATGTCTTAATAACAAAATATAGGGAGCAAAAAGTACGTAGATTGTAAAATCAACTATTATTACCTGTAAAAACAACTCACTGTCTTTGTGATAAGAAAATAAGGTGTCTCGGTTGACATAATAAAGATCACACTGACTTGGCAGAGGATGGCTACAAATACAAGAAAAAATTATAGTTTCTAGATCACTAGTTGGCAAGAAAGTATGGCAACATTCTATCTATATTGAGTGAAATTACCATACCAAGCAGGATTTGGAAGACAATTAGCAACATCAAGGCATAGTAATCCATTAAGCCAGGATTCAATTGGATCTCCAGAAGCGTATCTAATAGACTCATTAAGTTCTATCTTCTTGAAAAGGCAACCTGAATCCAAAGAAACGTCAGACAGTCAGGGAGTTCCAATAGATAACGATTCACATCAACTAGAAGGCCAAGGAAAAAGAATAGATATCTAAAACTACATACTGAGATATGAAAGTAGTAGGCCCTGCGTGGAAGAAACATTAGCTCCAATGAATATGAACAACCATCAGACGCAGTAATCTAAAATCACAACAGAGGACTACTCTGCATGAAGTTTCAATAAACCTTCGGAGGCCCTTAAGGCCGAACTTAACAACAAAACCTACGTACTTGGAATAAATTATTCACAAATATTCCTTAAACCTAGGCATTAGAGTAATAGTTTACTTAAACAAACATATATATCTTTTTTTTTTTGGACGAAACATATATATCTATTTAATATGAAAATGCTAGCTCTAATATTGAAATCTCCACACAAAATCTCCTGATCGCCACATGCCAAAAGTGAAAGCAAGATGTAGCAGTTAAATACCAGAAAGAGAGCCTTCAACACCAGTGACAGGGGCTCGGCTTTGCTCTTCTAACTGTTGGAGGAGTTTCAGGGACAAAGATCTACCAGTACCTTCATAGCTTTGGCAAAAAGCATAACAAACAAAAATCAGTAGCCTGACTGACCCAAAATATAATCAAGCCATGCATATAATTTTCAATAGTATGGGAATATAAGCATTTTACTCCTGTCCCACATACCCACTGACAGTAGATGATAAGAAAACTAGGTAAGGGCCAAGTAGAGACTTCACAACTGGCAAAGGAATAGCTGCCGCTTCATCAATAACCAACAGCTCAACTTGTGAGAGCTTTTCATGTTCATGGGGTTGTATATACTGCATGAATAAACAAGAAAATGAACAACTTAGGCGGTTGTATACACAAACTACGGCTTATTGTAAAAAATCCAGGATTGGACAGACCTGGATAGTTTGCCTGTGCTGCTTGAAGATATTTATCCGTACGATGGCTTTATTAAAGCCAGGATTCACACTTCTCACGACATCATATTCAAGATGTTCCTACAAAATATATAGTTGAAGATAAAGTTCAGGAAATTATATGGATATCCCGAATTAACATGCAATACAAAGTAACATCTTTCTTCTTCCATGAGATAGTGCAGAATTCAAACCTATGACTACCCAACAAACAGGTAACAAAATGGAAGAAGCTCAACATGAAAAGTTTCTACAAAAATGCCTCATATGTGTGATGCAGAAGAAGTTCATATTACCTTATATTCAAGTGCTTCGAAACCTTTGCAAACAAACTCAAAGAATGTTTTCAAGTTATCTGGGCTTGGTGCTGTTACGTAAATATTAGAGTACCTAACAGCAAATAAGATATAGTATTAATAAGATAACAGATTTTATTGAAACATACATGAATAAAAGAGTACAATAACTCAAGCCTACCCAGCAGCAACAGCCCCAGCAACAGCTAGACCAAGTGCAGCAGATTTTCCACGCCCACGACTAGCAATCAGAGCAACTATGCTGCGGAGGGTCTTATCCAATATTGCATCGAAAAATGTGACAACAGCTTTACCCTA